ATAATGAAAAATGAACTATGTGTGTGAATGGGCACGACTCTGTGTGTGTGTGTGTGTGTGTGTGTGTGTGCAGATGTAAATGCCGAATACAATAAAAATAATAATCAACAATGCCCTCACACACACATACACACACACACACACACACACACACACACGTGTGTGTTCAGATTTCAGCTCATGGATTTGTGCTTTTTAATTTACTCTGGACTTATTCTTGTTGAGCTCGTATGTGCGAATAAACTTATATGCATAATGGAAGAGGGTGTAAAATTTGCGGATGATTTTGTAAAAATAATAAAAAAAAAAACAAGCAAAAATTAAATATTGGAGAGCAGTCGACTAAAAGATACTACGCACACAAGTTTTTACTAGCGCAACTCTGTGAAAGATTCGTAAAAATGTTTATATTATTAGCACGCTATATAAATATATATATATATATATACTATATATAGTAGTAGAAGAAAAACGTATCATAAAATTTGATATAAAATGCAAGAGCCTCATATGAAATTTGTTCCATATAACCTTGATAAGTCGGATACTTCCCCCATGCACAGTGCATGCATATTACAGGGTATGCATAAAACTCACATGTAAAGAACCAAAAGTTCACTGAATAATCACTAAAGCGATATTGAAAGTACTTTTCAGTTAGGTGAATCACCATTTGGACAAGCGACTTGGATATATTTATATATGGACCTATTAAAATCATTGAGATTTTATCTATATATATTAAGCTAGGTGTCCTCACTGACTGACTGACTGATTGATTGACTGATTAACTGATGGATAGCTGACCATAAGATTTATCATATCTGAGCTTAATAAAAACACACCAAGACGGAGTTTTGGCAAATCCCACTCGCAACTGTGGAAAATTAAGAGAAACCTTTGACAATATCATTTTCAAAGATTTCTAAGAAAATATAAATAAAAAATTACTTAGATAAAAAGCTGCGTAATACCCGCTAGTAATACATATATATAGCAACGTCCAATTTGTCCTCTATAACTTCATTTAGATCTAGTATTAGTAGCTAGTATTAGAATAAGAAAACAGCGTATCCAGAGTACGGAAGTTTCCGACCAAAACTTGCCTGTTTTTCTTTGCCAAGTACTCAATTTACTCATTTGCATAAAAGTGCAAAATTTCTCTTTTGACTTGGGGATCGACAACTTTACCAGTGACTTTTTGGCATGCGAATCGGTTTTGTGCGAATCGGAATAAATTTGTTCGTGCTAATGCTTTCCAATTCTCATGTACATTCAGGGGGCCTAACGAATTAGTCATGCGGCTTGGCACGCACATCGAATCTCACATATTTGATGTCTTTCAATATTTTTTAGCATATATCGAAAGAGAACAAGAATATTTCATTTATCGGATTCGAAAAGCTGGGTATATGGTATCTTCTAGTCGGGCACTCCCAACTCTCAGGATACGCTTATTAGTAGACTATAAAAGTAACAAAATCAGTGAGAGTCAGCAGTAAGGGCATGAGAACTTCGGACTGAGCTTGAAGGGCTTTTCCAGAATTTGGTTTGTTTTCGTTTTTATTCAGCTCGTGGATCGCCGGCATTATTTTTTTTTTTTATTTGTGTTATTTTTTATTTATCAGGTCGCCCCCATTTGTGTATGCCACATTTGACAGCGGGACAGCTGCAGCTGCAAAAGCCCCCCCCCCCCCCCCCTCTCCAGCGCCACAAAACTAGATACCCCTCTGCGCATTAAAGTGCAAAGCATAACAGTAACAATTACAACAACAACAACAACAACAACATGATTTCGCTCTTTGGCTCTGTCGATTGCCAAGCGCAACGCTTGAACGCCGACGTCGACGCCGATGCCAGCGTCCGCTGCCAGCTCCGCCAGTGGGACAAAAATAAGCTCAGCCGATAAGCTAGTCTTTTCAGCATTTAATTTAGTTTCAGTTCGGTTTTTGTGTTGCGCCCATTTGCATGTGTGGTTTGTTGTCGCTGGCGATGCATGTTTAATTCGCAGAGTTTGCATTACATATTTTCTGTTTCGTAACCTAATCCTGCATTGGTTCGATTCTTACTCGAGCAGTTATCGATAAGCGATAAGGCACAGCATGCTTTTTAACCGTTACACGCGCTGTTATCTGACGCTTTTACTCTGTGCAGCAGTCGCAGTCGCCGATGACAGCAGCGAGGAAAGCAGCAGCACCATCCCAAGGTTTGCCCAAGTCCCTAAAACCCAAGCAAAATATATCAAACCGAAACAAAGGCTACTTTTAAATACATTGCATTATATTTGTAGAGCTGCCATCTTGTTGAAAAAAATGGTCCATTTGCATTTATGCATTCTCTTCCAAAATGTACACGACTGAACGACCCTGTTTGTTAAATGAGCACGTTAAGTTGGCTGCGCGACAGATCAGCTCATGAAAAGTTGACTTTTCCAAATCGACCACATTTAATAAAGTAAAGTCATTTGCTGGGTATCCCCTAGTAAGACTCTCCCCTTTTATAGAAGGGAGTTCAAATGAATATATGTATGTACATATGTAGATTTAGGGCAGCGCGGAGATCTGGGTATAGGGTATCTGCTAGTCGAGCGCTCTCGACTGGAGCACTCTGACTTGAAATATTTTGTGCTCATTTCAGCAAATGGCTCTGCGACTCAACAGATCTTTGCCTACCAGAGGAGGAGCTAACGCCGGGTTTGGGTAACATACAGCCGCCGCATCGATATGAGAGTCAGCGGGATTGTCGTCTGTCTTGCGGCAAATATGGAGCTATTTGGCCGATGCCCACCGGTGAGTGCAGCCTGTCGCACGACCGCGTGCACTTTGATCCATGGAAGGTGCGCTTCAATGTGGTGGCGCCCAATGCCGTAACGACGCAGTTTCTGCGCGAGACGAATCGCTTGTTTGTGAGCAACCTGCTCAAGGAGTGCACCCGGAACTGCACGCTGGGCAACAGCAAGGAGGTGCTGGTGAAGGCGACGGTGAACGACAGCAGCTTGGTGCTGGACTGGAGCACAGACGAGAGCTACATGATGGTGGTGCGCACCACAGACACCGCCAGCTTTGTGGACATCAAGGCGACGACAGTGTACGGAGCACGCTTCGCCTTCGAAACGCTCAGCAATTTGGTCACGGGCAGTCTATCCAACGGGCTGCTACTGGTGAGCGCTGCTCGGGTGCACGACCGGCCCGTTTATCCGCATCGCGGCCTGCTGCTGGACACGGCTCGCAACTTTCTGCCTTTGCGCTATTTGCGCAGCACCCTGGATGCAATGGCTGCCTCCAAGATGAACGTGCTGCACTGGCATGTGGTGGATACGCACAGTTTCCCGCTGGAAATCACACGAGTGCCGGAAATGCAACGCTACGGGGCATACTCGAATGCCCAGACCTACTCCCGCATCGATGCCGTCAATCTGGTGAAGTATGCACGCCTGCGTGGCATTCGAATTATGATGGAGATCGACGGACCCTCGCATGCGGGCAATGGGTGGCAATGGGGCCCAGCGGCCGGTCTGGGCAACATGTCCGTCTGCCTCAATCAAGCGCCCTGGCGCAACTACTGCGTCCAGCCGCCGTGCGGTCAGCTGAATCCGCTCAACGATCACATGTACGCGGTGCTCAAGGAGATACTGGAGGATGTCGCCGAGCTGGGCGCACCCGAAGAGACCATACACATGGGTGGCGATGAGGTGTACATACCCTGCTGGAACAGAACCGAGGAGATAACCACCCAAATGAAGGCGCGAGGTGACGATCTGAGTGAGGCGAGCTTTTTGCGGCTCTGGTCACAGTTCCATCAGCGCAATTTGAATGCGTGGGACAACATAAATCAGCGCATGTATCCCAGTGTCAGGGAGCCAAAGCCGGTGATACTGTGGTCCAGCCGCCTGACCGATCCCGAGACAATCGAACAGCTGCTGCCCAAGGAGCGTTTTATCATACAGACCTGGGTCAACGCTCAAGACCCGCTCAACCGGAACTTGTTGCAACGCGGCTATCGCCTGCTGATCTCCACCAAAGATGCCTGGTACTTGGATCATGGTTTCTGGGGCAGCACCAGCTACTACAACTGGCGCAAGGTTTACGACAATGCGCTGCCGCTTGACCCGCGTCGGGGCCAGGAGCGCCAGGTGCTGGGTGGCGAGGTGTGCATGTGGAGCGAGTATGTGGATCAGAATTCTCTGGGTAAGTGCGAAATAGCCGCGTGCAACATCCACACAGACGCATCTAACTGTGCTTCATTTGTAGAGGCTCGCATCTGGCCGAGAGCGGGATCGGCCGCCGAGCGCCTATGGTCCAATCCCAAATCGTCGGCCAATTTGGCTCAGCGTCGATTCTATCGCTATCGGGAACGACTTATCGCACGTGGCATCCATCCAGATGCTGTGGTGCCCCACTGGTGTGTCCTCCACGAAGGACAATGTCTCTAAACAAGTCGCCTTCTATTCAATTGTTATTTGTACCATAATAAACACACATATACATATTCAATATTGTAGTGTGGAAGTCTATTTTCAGCATAATACAATCGGAAAACAGTCCAGAAATAAATAAATATATATATATATATATATATATATATATATATATATATATATATATTTGATCCAATTAAAGTCCACTTTTAAGCAGAAGCTTAAATTATTCCCTAATCGAAAATGTTTGGCGCTATAGAATGATATGTTAAAAGCAAAATAAGTAGATATGGAAATACTTTACGAATGGCATAAGAAAGTTAAAAATAGAAACTAAAATTCCAGAAAGTAATCATTCCTTAAAACGACAGAACGACTGAAGCGAGACACAGATTTGAGCAGGATGGTCAAATGGATCATAATCGTGGGTGAATACGCAAAACAACAAATATTCATCTAAGAATCGTAGTAAAATTCATTCACTACAAATGCAACAGCAATAAAACGAAATTTTGTTTTCGTTTATGTAACAGAATAATAAATTTAAATCAATAACGTCTTTTGCGCGCCATCTTTCAAGCCAATCAGCTGTTGGCAACAATAACAAGGTGGCAGGGCTATTTAGCACAGTCAGCTGCTATCTGCAAGATCCGGCAACGCCGTTTACAGCACAATATTTGTATACAGCGTAAATAGGCCGGTGGTGCATTTCTTATAAATTGAAGCTGATTAACGCATTGCAAAATGCGGTTACTGGCCAGTGCACTTTATTTGATTAGCTGCTTGCACTTTGGTCAAGCCAATATAACAGACGGCAACAACAACGACAACGACAATGGCAATATTTTGCCCGTGGTACTGTGGCATGGCATGGGCGACACTTGTTGTTTTCCCTTCAGCCTGGGCTCCATTAAGAAGCTGATCGAGGAGCATACGAACGGCACCTACGTGCGTTCCTTGGAGATAGGCGCCAATATCGTTTTGGATTATGAGAGCGGCTTCTTTATACATCCGAACAAGCAGGTCGACTACGTCTGTCAGCAGCTGGCACGCGACGAAAAGCTGGCCAATGGATACAATGCCATTGGCTTCTCGCAGGGCGGTCAATTTTTGTAAGTATAATTGTTAAAGTAAAAGGTCACTTAAATAGCATACCTCCTCCTACAGGCGAGCGCTGGCACAGCGTTGTCCCACGCCGCCAATGCGAGTGCTCATCAGCTTGGGCGGCCAGCATCAGGGCGTCTATGGAGTTCCCAAATGTCCCACGCTAAGCGTCAGCAGCTGCGAGTACATTACCAGGCTTCTGAACTATGCCGCCTACGATGAGTAAGTGCATCATACTGGCATAAGTTCCCTTTCCCTCATTATATGAATATGCCAACTGTGCGTAGGCGGGTCCAAAATGGTCTGGTGCAGGCTACCTATTGGCACGATCCGCTGCATGAGAATAGCTATCGGCTGAAGAGCAGCTTTCTGGCCGACATCAACAACGAGCTGTACATTAATGAACGCTATGCAGAGAATCTTAACAAGCTTAAAAGGTACAATTTTGGATTCTGTTTTGATTTTGTATTCAAAATCTGACCAACTGCTTGAACTGCAGATTTGTCATGGTTAAATTCCTCAACGACACCATTGTGCAGCCTAAGGAGTCGCAGTGGTTTGAATTCTATGCACCTGGTCAGGACAAACACATACTGCCGCTCAACGAAAGCAAAGTTTTCAAGAATGTAAGATTCAAAATTCGCATAATATTCGAAGTTTTGCTAAAATAGCTGTTCCACTTAAAGATTGGGCTGGAGGAAATGAAACAACGTGGAAAACTGCAGTTTCTCAGCGTCGAAGGCGATCATCTGGCCATATCAAAGGAATGGTTTATCAAGGAACTGGTGCCCCTTCTTCTGGAACTAGAATAAAGATTACGCCAAGCATGACGACTTTGATGGCTCATGCGGGCAAACAAAGGAGCTTTACTAGCATATTTTAAAGCCGATTAACGCACGATATAGAACATATGTACATTTTATATATACTTGATTTGATTATATATATATATATATATATTATATATAAAATTAGTAATTTCGAAGTTCAGTTTTGCGTACAAAATGGATTTGCCTTATTTAAAATATTATACATACATATTTATTAGCTGTGTTAAGGTTGTAAGTTATTATTATTAATATTAATAAACATTTCTGGGAAATATTCAATGCAAGGCAGTCGCGTGTTCCGACTATGATTCATATATTACGAACTTGACGTCCACATACATATATTTATGTTTATATATATAGGAATATATATTATGTATATATAGCTATGTACACGGGGCAACTAACAAAAGCTTATTGACAACCATAGAATTATAAGATTTACATTTGACATTCAATTGATTAAAGCAAAACAAGTGGATAACCACAACCAGCACAGATCCAGTGCAGCACAGATTCCTATGCGTGCGGAATTATTATTGTTATAGGTGTTTCGGAGTAGGACTTCTTCGTTTTTTGGTAGATGCACCACGTCATGGCATTAGCAATCACATCATAACTTGGACTTTGTATTTGTATTGCGAGCAAAAAAGATTTCTGGATCCTTGTGCGGACGCTGAATCTCACGATAATTATTGACTATTTTCTTGGACTCATCTTTGGGACACGATTGTAAGTTGCGAAACACGCTTACCTACAAATCCAAACAGAAATATATTATACACTTAAGCTGTGTGCTATTGTGATGGATGCTGCTGTGGCAACGTACCTGACCCCGCGACACATAAATGGGCGTCCGGTAGATTATCCACGTGACACTCTCAAAGTACGGCGCCGTTGTCAGCGAGCCCTTGTATGTGTAATAGTGTTTACTTAGCTCCTGCAGACCGATCCAGGACAGGCAGTCTGCAAACAGAAAAATGGAACACATTTCAAACTGGATAATTGTGTATTTATATTGGGCTAATATACTCACCCGAGTCCAAGGATGCGCTTGTATGGATCTTTTGGACAATGCGTATGCCTTCGGTGATCTTCTTGAACTCTGGGCAATCCTTGTCTCCACAGGCCTGAATGAAAAAAGCAACAACAGCGAGCCCGTCCGGTTTGTTTTTGGCCTCGGCAAAGTCCTTATACTTGGCATTGTAGTGAACGGCATGTGCCTCCATCGAGTACTTCATGCCCTCTAGCGTATGCTCGCAACCAGACTCATCCGAATCGGACCAGTGGAAGTGCAGCTGCTCGAACACATACATGTTGGTGTCGAGGGCGCCACCAATAATGTACGGCTGTTGTTTCCTTTTGCTAAATGTGACCATCGCCGAAGTGCCTGTGTTCTGGACGCGCGCAACACCTACCGGCTCCCAATGGCCATGATACTCGAGCGGATCAACATCGTCAATATGCTCGATGGCACGATTGCTAATCTCGATGGGCGATTGCACTGGCATACTGTGTACTGGTCCGGCTGGCGCTGCTCCGACCTGCTGCTCCTAATCTATGTTATGTGCGCGGCGTTCAAATATTTCTTCTTCCTCAGCTTGTAGACACGCCCGCGATCGGCAGCGCTGGCGTCGTCCAAGTGCTCGACTGACAGAGGTGGCGCTTGCGGCGGCGACGTCGTGATGGCGACTGTTCTCCTTGACGCCGGCGTGTGTAAGGAAGTTCTGCGACGGCTCTGCCCCGTGGCCGTCCGTATAGTTAGCTCTTTGCGCCGGCCTTAACTGCCTGAAAATGTACAAAGACAACAACAACATGAATAATAGCAACAACAACAACAAAGACAACAAACATTCAACATGCAAATGTCAGTTACCTAGTAATTGAAAGCAACAAATTGGAACAACTGACAACTTGCAGTGGTCAATAAAATCAATTAATCAAAAAATCCGTGAGTGAACAACATGCAACAGACCCGCTCAGACGCACCGGCTCACTAGCTGAGACCTGGAGCCGGAGCCGGAGACCGAGTCGGAATAGCTGCTCTCTAACTATTTGCAATTGTAATTGACACCTGTGTAATGCAAGCGCACCCCCATCCCTCCCTCCTAACATCCGTATTTGATGAGCCATTTGAGAAATTAAAGTGTAGTTTGTATGAATGATATCTCACTGTCTCCACCTGGCCTCAGGTAATCCGGCATCGGGCATCGGGCATGGGGCAACCGGCTGACATTCTGCACGGCCCGCTTTAAATATTCAGCGGGCTTGTCTTGTTTGCACCTCGCGGTTGTTTGTGGGTCTTCCCAGAAGCTCGTTATTGATTCGTTAGCTAATTGCGAGTTCTTGCATATTTAATACGTGACAATTGATAGGCCACAAGACGCACCACCAACAAAGTTGGACGTTTTTCAAATTGCGTGTTCAACAACTTTAGTGCACACTTTAGGTAACCTTTTTATACCTAATATTTTCTTAATGGTGTCCCCATTTTATTGTTACGGCTGTGGGAACGACAGATATACCTAGACTTTCACTTATCTGATCATTTAGACAAGTTGTCCTTATACACTTGGTCAATCGGTTGTTTAATTTGAGTACTTTACACTAGAAAATTATGCTATTGAATATGAATTGAATGTCGTTGGGATAAAGATACAATATTCGAGATACAATTTTTGATTCAATTTTCCACTCAGATGCACGGCCAATCGGTAAGCGATGTGCATCTCATGAGTATCGTAACAAAAAGCTATATGCGAAAGTCTTCCACCCATTTTCCGATGAGTGGATCAATGCGTTTGGTACACGAAGTCATAGACTCATGTCAAATCGAATGCCTTGCTTTGTAGGTTTGTTGAAGTTAAAGCTGACTAAATGTAAACACCTGAAGATTATGAATATAGATACTAATAATCATCTCAAATTCACACAATATTGTATACTATATACAGAGGTCAAATTTAATCTTAATGTTGAATTTTGTTTAATTTCAAAGCTTCTATAAATGTCGCTAGGGCAATTTGGGAGCCACAATACACAAATACATTCTACGGCTAGTACCTTTATTTAAAAGTGCTTTAACAATTGCAATTGCATAGGAAAGATCGATCCGTTTAGAAAAAACATATTCGTTTTGTTAAGATATCTTAGTTTGAAACACGTTAAATGACATGAGTTGTTGATGATATCGGAAAAAAAAAATAAAATTTCATCATGTTTTTCTTTTGAATAATTGAAAAGATTCAATAATCGATACGTCAACGGCGTTAAGAAAATGTATAGCTCTTAGTCCAATACTTTCATATGCAAAATGCACATCGGGTGCGAAGGTCTGCTATAGGCCGGAACGTGCCCTGGGATTGCTTAGATTTAGCTATATATATTTTCGCCTATTTTTATTGCCTTTTAGCTCTTGAAGTTTTCTCATTATGCGACAATTAACAAATGCTGTTGGCTAATTAACAAGTGCTTATGGCAAAACATAAGAGCCTGGCCATAAAGAATTCTTCAAAGAAGTGCTCATAAAACGTTTACCGTGGATATTTATAGAAGAAGAAAAAACGTTTGATACGATTAGCTTGTGCTTAGCATTCATCATAAAGCCAAATATGATTTTAATTGACATTTATACAATACCCTAAATACCCACTCAGACGCATTTAGAAGTCAACGCTAATGGCAGCGATTCCGGGATTAGAGAGGCAGGTGGGGCAGGGCTAGTTAGCCTTGTGCAACTCACAGCAGACTGTGAATTTACGACAGACACTCTGAACTTATGTGTTGGTTATATGTTTATGGCATGTGCTCATATCAAAGGCATTTACTGATAAGCCGAAGAGAGGTCGAGAAACCAGCGGTAATTGCTGCGTCTAGCCACTGCGAATCAATCGGCCAACTAACTGCCCGTAAAATGTATATATATAATCGCCACCATTAACTTGGCATATCAAGTTTGTCGCTCCCCAAAAGGCCCTATAGCAGGCAATATCTTGTGATTTGTTTCTACGTTTACATTTCTGATATCTTATCATATCTAGAGCAAATGCAGTTAGTTTGTAGACATGCGTCATTTGCAGCGCAAAACTTGAAGACATATCAATCCCATATGTATATACATATATATGTATGTGGTACACGTCATATGTTGTTTGTCCAATTAATCCAATCCAAAGCTAGATATTGATTCTATTCGTCGTGCCTGCAACCATTTATATGAAATTAGTTGAACTATTTAATAAGACGCAAGCTCCAGATGTTTCCAAATGTTTATACTCTATCTTACTTAATCCAAATTTTGTGCTGTTGCCTTTTTAGCTTGAAATCATGACAAAATATAAATTTGTTTTTCTTTTGCTTTACAGTTTCCAGAAGATTCCTGATCTTATCAGTGCACTCTAATCATTAAAGAGAAAGACCTAAAACATATCGAATTTCAAATCAGGTGTAAATCAATTAAGATAAATACAAAACATACCTGGACCTGGACTTGGCCAATGCACAGACATCCTTCAACAACTTTCTTATCTAATTGAACTTACACAGTTAATGGCTAAATAAGCAGAATGCAATTATTTATCTATACACAGTACTAGAGTTTATATATGTTTTATCAGTAGAGTCCATTATGCAAAAAGAAACAAAAATATGGTCCGAGATAAGCGGAAGGCACGTTTTCAATGCTGGCACGACGAATTTCGATAGAAGTACGCACAGCTTAATATATATATTATATATATACTTATTCACTTTAGCATATATACCCATGTATATGAGGAGGGCGAGATCTGATCAGCAACAATTTAAGTGGCATTTGGATGCATACGTCATCTAAGGTCATGTGACGGCAATTTGGGAGTTGTCTGCCTGATTGATGGATCAGCCCAGCGGCTTAAGAGCGACAGAGTAGTTGAATTGATAAGTCTTGACTTATCATTTTGTACACGCATTTGTATGCAGGTGTGCGTATTTGTGCTGCCGTCACACACACTTGAATCACATTGTGACCGAGTAATTACTTAAGTACGCGTACTACTGTGATAAACCTTATCGCTTAGATCAATGTTGGAAGAGTCATATAAGGGAAAACAAAACAATAAACAGGTGAGACACAAGACGGCATAGAGAGTGAGAGAGAGCGAGCGAGTGTTACAGTTAAGTAATAACATTGAGGCGGCAATCGAAAACTGTCGCCCAGAGCCAAGAGCCAAGAATAGAACCTGAAACCTGCAGGTAGCATGCAAATTTGCCAGTTCAGCTACGCAATGACCTCATCCATTAGGCATGCGTTAAGTGAGGAAGCAACAGGAGCAGCAGAGCGACAACAACAACAACCGCAACACCATCGACCAAATAACAGTTCAAGGGTCAGCATTTTGATTGCCCAGCTATGCGCATACTCTGTAAAAGTTCAATATAGTTCAATACATATGTAGCTCAAATACTCTAAATTCAATTTCAATTAACGACCTTTCTAAACAAACGCTCAACTTATTTATCGAATGTGTACAATTGAAAATAATAAGTCTTAATTACAAATGTTTCCACACCTTTCGTATATTTTACAACATTGTGCTCACAGCTTGCAGGGTATAACAAATATTGATGTTGGACAGCTGTTATTGTTGTTGCTACTCCCTACGCAAATCAATAATTGAGCGGCAAGTGCAGTGTTGCCCGCCCATAGCTGACCTTCGCACTGGCATTGGGGGTTTGGGTGGTGTTGGTGAAGCGGTAAACGGTAAACGGCAAGCGATGCCGGGTTGGGGAAAATGTGATTAGCAGAAGGGAGAGAAATTCTTTGCACATTTTACACCTTTGCCTATAGCATTTTAATTTTGAAGCGCAATTAAATTGCTTGCAGTCACTGTGGCAGTCGCTGTCACTGCCGGCGTTATGTTATTGTTGTTTTCCTATGCAGACAGACATTTTTAATAACTGTGATGCCCAGACAGTCGGCGCAATATATGTATGTATTTACATACTCACACATATGCATATATAAATTCAATATAGTCATACACATATGTATGTATATAAATATATGTGTATATGTATTCATGTCATGTAGATAAGTGACTGCACACACACACACACACACAAACCTACATAATACAATATGTATACATGTAGTTAATTGTACACTAATTTGTTTGTATGTACATATGTATATTTGATCTGGTCGGTATATTTACCTGTTGATTTTGATTTACTTTTGCTTTTGCACTTTGTAGTCGCCGTTGTTGTCGCCCTGCGTTCAACTTTAAGAAACTAGCAACAGCTACAATTAATGTATGCAAATGCAAAAAAAAAAAGAAAATGTTGACACACGCGCACACAATTTCTTTTTATAAGCGCGTAATTGTTGTTGATTAATATTTATTTTTATTTTTTATTGAGAGCCAATAAAAAATACCGCATTGCCAGCAAATGCGTTCGCAATCCCGATTTAAAAAAAAAATCACTTAATGTGGGCCAAGGGACAACGCAGTGTTGACAAAAACTGAGATGTTAATTAACAGTCTCAATAACGTTTCTGGAATCAGTTTGAAACAAAATGAAATTCTGTTAGTGAACAGTCCGCTGGTAGAAATGAAATTCCAGTCGTTTTTGGCGATAATTTAAGTGTGACCAGTCTAGCGAATGGTGATATTTAAGTATCGATAAGTTTGCTAAAGACTCATAACACTCTATTATTTGTAAAATAATTAACTTATAATATTAGGAACTGTGGGCAATATTGTAGAATGCTTTCATAACTATTTTATGTCAATTTAACTAATTTGATCGCAACAGCTTCGAGTTTTCACTTGAATTTTGCTTGTTTTAGCTGTGCTAACTAATGTTGTCAATTTTTTGAATAAATAAATCAAACAAAATTCACACTATTTCTGCTTGGACGTAAAAGCGATATATATAATTCAAATCGAAACGAATCAATTACATGGTTTTGCACCCCTGACTATAGTACACTTATCGATTACAAACGAGTCGCACAACGCAAAGTACTTTCGGACGTGTATCTTTTTCAATATAGTAAATTTTAATTTATATTTCTTAAAGTCAAGTTTCTTCCGTATTTCTTCGTAGGGAAGACGCCTTATATTCAAATTAAATACAGCTTGTTTAAAAACAAACCTCACACTTTTTCCAAATTTGTTCAAATTTTACATTTTATTTGTCATTGTGGTAAGTAGTCAGCGTCATAAAGGAAATTAAATATGCGTAATGCCTTTTGCGAAATTCACGAAGTTGCAATGTTTAACCGTTTAAATACACGTGTGTTGACTGGTTTCTCGTTAATTTCTATACAAATCTAGTGTATGCGCAGGGCTTTGTGTAATCGGCAGTTGGTTGTATTTACAGCAAGAGCACATGCACATGCACACACACATACATACATATGTTTATGTGTATATACAAATGTACATGTATGCAAATGCATGGGTGAATGCCGCCAAGCATTTGTCTTAACATGAATTTTAAGAAATATCGCTTGCTTTTGCATAATTTGCAGATCAAGATGCCGAACATCAAGTTGCAGTCATCTGATGAGGAAATTTTCGATACCGATATACAAATTGCCAAGTGCTCCGGTACAATTCGCACCATGTTGGAGGATTGCGGCATGGAGGATGATGAGAATGCCATTGTGCCATTGCCGAATGTGAATTCGACAATTTTGAGAAAAGTGTTGACCTGGGCCAACTATCACAAGGATGATCCACAGCCCACGGAGGATGATGAGAGCAAGGAGAAGCGCACCGATGACATCACATCATGGGATGCCGATTTTCTGAAAGTTGACCAAGGCACGCTTTTTGAACTGATCTTGGCGGCCAATTACTTGGATATTAAGGGCTTGCTGGAGCTAACCTGCAAGACCGTTGCCAACATGATCAAGGGGAAAACACCCGAGGACATCCGCAAAACGTTCAACATCAAGAAAGATTTTACACCTGCCGAGGAGGAGCAGGTGCGCAAGGAGAACGAATGGTGTGAGGAGAAGTAAGCGGCACTCCATACCCATACTGGGCAGATGTCGCCAGATGGTAAATGGCTGCGATACTCATCTGCGAAACTTCTGAAGAAAATAAAAAAACAAACATTTGAAAACTAGGATAATGAAATACGCTTTTTCAAACTGAACCATTGCTTGAACGAACACTTGCGTATTAAATAACTTTTATCTAGTTTATGTATAAGAAGGTTAAAATACACACATACTTTGAAATATTTTTCTCAAAAAAACAAAACCAAATTTAATTATATATAATCATGAAAAAGAACAAAAAATTTGCAATAAAATGTAAACTGCGTTTAAAGATTATGTGAAAAATTAATAATAATGATATATATATATATACATATACTATATATATATATACTATATATATATATATATATATATACCTTAATCGTGAATCATAGCTTTTGCGCACTTACTCGTTTTTACATATAACAACAAAATCGAATGTATTTTATTTCCATCTGTTTAGCCTAAAATTCTTCAACAATTCCTTTGGGATACAAATGTCTAAAAACATGTTTCGACTTTCTGTTTACAATTTGTGCCAAAGGTTTGAACCCCCAACTTGATGACGCATCTAGTATTCGCCAAAAACTTATAAATGGTTGTCATTTCCGGAGTTGATGTTGATGTTAACTGATATTGAACACTTTCCCGTCAATCGAACCTTCTCGCAGCATTGGGCAGCTTAATAAAATATGAGTTTTCTTAAGCTAACGAACAAGTTGAGATCTGTACCATCAAATGTTAATTTTGGCTTGGCAAATGGTTTTTAAATGTTGTCGTGGGATGAATCAACAGCCAGGCCCTCAGCAGGCCGTTCTCGCCTCTCCTATATAGATATGTAAAGGGCTTCTCTGTGCTCCTAGCTGCTTATGGGCCAAAAATAGTGTCTATAGTCAACTACCAACTCCTGAAGAGACAATCGATTCCTAACCTCGGCTTAAGCATAACACATACTCTGCGCAAGGGTATCTCATATTCGGCGTGCCGGAGCTAACTGTTATTTCATTTCGGTGTCGGGTCGGCGTGCTCCACATAGCTCCCTCTCACTCTGGCTGGCAGCTATCCCTTTCTGATACACACTTTGCGGTTTGCACTTAATGTTAACGCATTGAGTTGGTTTTTAATTTTATTAAATTGTTTTAAACACTACAATTAATTTGTTAAAAGGCCATAAACAAAAATTTTTGTTCTTAATGTGTGTGAGTGTGTGTATGGGTGCATGTGTCTGTGTGGGTGTGTGAGAGAGTGTGTTTTCTTCGCTAATTTTGCAGTTATTTCATTTTCGGGCTGTGTCTTATTGGGTTATAATATGTATAATAATTTCCTGGGTCTTATAATTACAATGGCAAACAATAATTACATTTCAATATGTTTTCATGCATAATGATGCGCTCATGTTTAGATCATTATTGTTGCAAAATTAAAATTGCTGCATACCCTTTATGCACGTAAGTGTCTACCTGTCGTGGTTGTGTGTGTGTGTTTGTGTGTTGTGTGTAATCAAGTGTAGTCGTGTGTGTGAGCTGTGTTAGTTTTCTTCTCTCTTCATTTTTATGTTGCATTTTTTTCATATTTGTTTGTTTGCATTTTTTTTGGTTGTTTTTTAAACGTTTTTCAATAAATTAGCAATAAACAATTGAAAGGTGTTTGAAATAAAGATGTGCATGGCATCATTTTGTTTTTTTTTTTTTATGTTTTTTTGTTTTTTGTTTTTGCTGCTACTTTTGCTCTCTAGTTGTTGTTGTTTTGTGTTTGTTGTTGTTGTTATTTTGTTGTAGTTGCCTTTGCCGTCGTTTTAACATCTTTCATCTCTTCAATAAGGACGTCAATTCAATGAGGGCATGTGTGCATCATGCCAATTGATCTCAATGTTGGGCCACTTGGTCTGCAGGCAGGTGACCATCGGATTTGAGGTGCAAATCGACTTGAGATCGCCCTCCAGCAAAATGGCCGAGCCACAGTAGTAGCGCACCTGTGTGAAAATAGTAGACACTCTCATCAAATAGATGACATGCAACGAAATGCTACGGCAAATAAAATCGAGAAAGCAAGGATATCTTCGGCACGCCAAAGATTTAATACCCTTGTTCACATAGTGTGAGAACAGTGAGATCGCCAATGCTTAGTTAAGTGAATAGTGCTTTATAATATAGTAGTTCGATATTGATCTAATCAATAAATGGCGAGTTTGGTTTGTCTTGATAAACAAAAAGACTCGATTCTTCCTTTAGAGCTATATGATATAGTCCGAAGCTAATAGAACTGGTAGAGCTCGTATATGCAACTTTTGGTTAAGAAAGCAGAATATTCTCCTATGGCAACGTGGTCTAATATTGATTAGATTTTGCTTGTATTCTGTCAAGATTTCTACATTATATATTAGTCAGATCCGGTAAGTTCCGACATATGTAAAGCCCGCAACTGCAACACGGGTCTATGCAAAATCTCATATGTTTGTATAGAAACAGACTAAATGGCTAAATTGGGTCGTAAATGGGTCCTTCTACCTTCTTCCTTCTTCGTGGCAAAAGTATAATGTTCGATAAAGATTCAACTGGGACTCAATTCTTAATTTGCCTAATTATCTTAGGGTAAATTACAAAACAGCAAATATCATACTATATAAATCGGAAAGACCTTAAGGAAGGTGCGAACAGTACAGTTCACAATCAACGATAGGTTTTTACCAACAACATGTTGGCAGCATTAAAATACAAGTAATTTTGGTGGAGACACCTTACAGAAATCGAATTCAGCTTAATGATATAGTGCTGCGATCCAGCATATGTGCTGCCTGCAGTCCACGAAGAAATCTATGCCAATGTTCTTCAAGGCAGCTTCGAAACTGAGAGACTAACAACAGACGGACAACTCAACTCATGCTCCTGTTTTAGATTATAATAAGGGATTGAAGGGATGCCTTCAGTGAGTCACATAATTTGAGCATTTTAGCAACCTTAATGCTTACCTTGTTGTTATCGTTAGAGCCGGGTATGCCATTGTAGTGCAGCAGCTCGAACGTGTCCGGCGTTGAGCGGCGCTCCAGCGGAAAGAATTCATCCATGAAGGCATTCAAAAGTATGATGCCGAGATTCTCTGGATCCAAACGCTTTTGCATGAGACTAACACTATGTTTGGTGTAAGGGGATGGAGATGAAGAAATTAGGCACTCGTCTAGCAGCAGAGGTCAGGAGCAACTTACTATCCCGGCTCGCTGACCAGATTCAATGCGGCTAGCACATCACGGAGCAAGGTGCTCGATATGAAATTGTTGCCCTCCGGATCGTAAGACTTGAAGACCCGACGTCCCGTCTCCGATGGTGTCTCCGGCGAGACGAGCCTCTTTTCATTGCTAAACAAAACTGTAGCATAAAACGGAATGTTAATATATATGGTATATGGATAAGTAGTATTACTACTCACCAGTTAAATGCGTGTCAGAGCCCATTACCCAAACTGGGTAGCGTGGATTCTTAAAAAACGAGCCCACTGTACAGTAGCGCATCTGCTCCATTAGTGTTATGAATCCAATATCGCTCTGCTCACAAATGCCGCGCAGCTTTAGACCGCCCACATCCTGCTCATTGTCCCAGACATGGGCAACGGCGCGTCCAGTTAGCATCAGATTGATCAACGATTGTGCCCCATAGCCATATGTGCTGTGTATCAGCGGCTCCGATGTGTCCGATATATCAGATGTCACCTGTTCGGTGCCCTTGGTTAGGAATACCGAATACATAAACAACAGCACACCGTACGTATTCGATAGCTGACTATAGTTTTCCACATAGTAGCGAGCCACCTCGGCAATGTGCTCAAAGTGGAGCGTATGCAGGCGCTCATGAAATTGATCTGGTGTCAGTTCCAAATTCAAGCGTGTGGTGACCAATGCTGCATCGTTTTTGGTAGCGACAGTAGCAGCAGGAGCGGCTTTACCAGCCGCATCAATTCCAATTGTCTCCTCCGCCTCAACAGCCGCTTCAATTGCATCAGTGGGCGGCGTCAGGCGACGCTCTTTGGTTGATCGCCGTTGCAGTGTGACAATTTTATAACGCGGCGCTCGGCAGTTCTTCAATATGTTGCACAAAGCTTCGATGAGCAAACTCTGGCATTTGTCACTGGGTAGCTGGTAATGAGAATAAATCGTTTTACTATTGCCAGGCAGTTTCGTGTGGGCGGGTGCGCGGGCGGTTGCGTGGGCGGATGCGTGGGCTGAACTTACCTTTGTTAATTGTATGCCTGGCATTTCCATGATAATTATCTTAAGCAAGTACGCCTGCACGGGCGCTATCACAGCACAAGGACCGCCCTGTTTTTGCACCAAAGCCGAGGGCTCCACATCACTAAACTCAAAGCCTGCAAATGCATTTATAATTGTAGAGATACACACACATACACACACACATGCATGCACACCTACGCACGCACACATATAAAAAGCGCGCGCTGTTTGGGGGCGCTGTCGTTTCGGGTGGTGCAACACGTCGACTTACCTTGAGACCAACGCTTGAATACATCTTCGCGCACACTGTCGCCCCACAGCAAGTGTATAATCTCGCGCAGCTCTCGCATGTCGCTCTCGTTGGGACGCAGCAGTTGCTGCTGTTGTTGTCGTCCAGCAGCTGGCGCTGTTGATGATGGTGTACTGCCACTGGCCATGGATGATATTTCTTGCTGCTGCTGTTGTCCTGCTGTGTTGTGTGACTGCGATTCCAAGGCTGTTGACGCCAACGTCATCGACGCCGTAGCTGATGCAGTTTTCGGCGAGGCGCACTTTTCGCTGCGCTGCTCCCGTTCGCATGCGTCGCTCATCTCGAGTCGTTTTCTTTGCTGTAGGAGGGAGGGGGATACGGGTATTGGAATCACAAAATGTATTCGCCTTTATCGAAATCGAAATACAATAAACGCAAAGTCAACTATTTAGGTTGGCATTTTTTTTGGCTATGCAAATGCAACAGTGTAGGGATGTAAAAATATGGGTGCATCAATGCCTATCGATACGATTGCACGATAATTGCGAATGCAAGTGCTGCCAATGCATGCTAGTGATGACACTTAACAACTGATTGTCCCTATGTGCCCATATATCGATTGCTGGTGAAAAATATATATATCGTTCTGCAGCTGCTTTTAACAGGCAATCGCAAATTTTCTACAACTAACTACGGATTGCATTTAAGGAAATCCAATACACTTTTGTAAAATCCCTTATTTCTAGAACTTAATCGTTTTAATCGTTTTTTTTGTTGTATAATTCCTAGATGTCTGTAATCAGCTACGAAGCGCTCAATTGCAATTGAAAAAATTGAGTTTTATATCGATATAACATCGGTTGGTTTATTTGTAGCATTTTATAACATTGGGTTACTTAACACCTTACACATCATTAACGTTGCTTGCTGAACACTAATATTTGCACTTCAAAAACGACAAACTGATTAATTTGTACATATTTTATAAATGCAAAATGTATCGAAGTGATCAGCATTCAGTGAATAGATCCGGTGAATATCGATTTATCGACACGATCACAGCAAACTTGGTTTTTAATAGCACAAAACAAAAGCGCGCCATGAAACCGAAGTGCATATTACCCAAACATTCGAAGATAAAAACTAAAGGCAGCCTTGTTGCAAACGCAACTAACAACAGGAAGCCTGAAAATGGACGCGTCTATTACTGTCGCTCCTGTTTGGTGGCCTTTCCTCGGTTTCTCGTCTGCAAGGCACATGAGCAGCTGTGCGATACACGGATCGCCCGACTGCACATATGCAAATATTGCCTCACATTGTATGGCGATGAGCAGCTGCGTCAGCGGCACATCCAACGCAAACACATGGACGGCCGCTATATGTGCCTGCAGTGTGGCACATTTGGCAAGCGCTACAGCTCATCAATATTCCTGTACAAGCATGTGGTGTCATGGCATGGCGAACACTCGCTCTTCTACTGCGCCATGTGCGCGGACAACTGCAACGACGCGAAGGCGTTTAGCTGCATGAGCGACCTGATTGCCCATGCCGAAAGCGACCATAGTCTGCAAGGAGATGGCAGCGTTGTCGACGAGACTGAGGATCTGGAAATGCTTGAGGAGAACATTGACGAGCTGCTGCCTACTGTCGATTGGGACGATGATCTAACATTTGGCTGGCCCATGGATTTGGATAAGGAGTCCTGCATTGCCGATCCAAAGCCCAAGCCCAGCGCCTATGTTTGTCCGCTTTGTGCCAATGGATACACCGGCAGCATCAGTCTGCTCAAGCACATTGAGAAATCGCATAATCGCAATCCACTTGACTGCATTTTCTGTGGCAAATCGCACAAAAATCGGGAGGCCATCCGAGCACACTTGCAGCGCCAGCATGTCCTATTGCGCGCCCACATCTGTAGCGTGTGCCAAGCGGATTTTACTACCGCCGACCATTTGCTGAAGCACATGAGGAGCAAGCACCTGGAGCGGGCGCACGTCTGTCCCGAGTGCGGCAAATCCTTTGCCCAAATTAGTCATCTTACCGAGCACATGTTGTCCGAGCGGGGGCATATAAAACACACCTGCAATCTATGCAACACGCAGTTCTTTCGATCCATCGACCTCTCGCGCCACATTCAGCTTAAACATTCTACAAACTTATAAAGAGGTAAGCTCTAGACTATTCTATTTCATATGTCTCAATAGGCAATTGTATAATTCTCTCGCAGAATCAAGTTAACTTAATGTTACCCGGTACTCACAACCGACTGCACAATACCCTGTTGAAAGTAATTAACAGCTTTCAAACGGTGCAAATATGAGCTTTTTTTTAAATTGCGCGGGCTGGTGGGAAATATATTTAGAAGATGGTGAACAGTTTTCAAATCTGATTTAGATTCTAGAAATTTCACGTCCTCAGAGAAACGTTTTACCTAAAATCGAATCGCATAGAAAGGTGGTCTCACAAGCATGAGATAAAATATATATATATATATATCAGTCTATTCAATTATATAATCTTAGCCCACTTTGTGATTAACACCATACAACTCGATCGTGTGTAAAATGGTTAAATCTGAACTTAAAATAACTATATTTATCTTATTTAAATTGTGCCTTTGTAAATATCAAGTAAATGCATAAGCTTAGCAGCGCATTGTAAATGCGTGTTACAAATTGCACATAAGTTCTATATATTCGTGTTCGTACACACACACACACACACACACACAAACATTTGACATCTGTGAAAAGTTGTTTGACTTTTAAGACCTTTGGCTGTCGCTTAAAAGCGCCTACACATGCTCTGTTAATTAACAGCGCACCTGCTGCACCCCCAAGCATTTGCACACAGCAGTCAGCCGCCTGCCTTAACAGTTACTGTAAGAGTAGGAAAAGAAAAAAATAAAAACGTTGTGATCGCAGCAGCCGTGCGCGAGCGGCTGGGAGCGCGTCCGTTACGAACTGAGAGCGTCGGAGCGCAACAGCGGCGGCAGCGACGCCAGCGGCAGCGGCTGCGGCAGCGAATTAAACGTTATTGTCATTAAAAGTCTTGCTGTTGGCCCACACAGGCGACAGTTTTGAACGAATCGTGCTTGTGTTTGGATTGTCACGTTGTTGTCGCTGCCGACGCCGAACAGTTAACAGTTAACAGTTCTTGTTTTTGTTTTTGTACGTGCATTCTGCAAAAAAAAAAATATATAAAATTAAACTTGTGTTTCACATTAGATTTGTGTTAACGACACAGTCGACATTTCGCGTAAGTGCATATGCAAAGATTTAACTTAACTACCAAAAAAATAGAAAAAAATAGAAAAGAAAATCAAAAAACCAAATAAAACTGTGACGATCACCGAACGCGACCCTCAGTCGACTACTTTTTTTTTTGTTATTGTGTTTCTATTTTTTGTTGCTTAATTTTTTTTTTAACATTTGTTTTTGTTCGTGCATTGTTTTGTTGGTATTTGGGCCCAAAGCTTTTGTTGCTATTGTTATTGTTATTGTTGATATTGTCGCTTTAATTAACTAAAACCAGAACAACATTTGATCAGTCATCGCAGCGAATTGTAATTTGTAACTTTGTTCTTAATGTTGTTGAAGTGAAGCAACAAAAAAAAAAAACACAAATTAAAAAAACAATAAAAAAAACCCCGTGCAAATCGTTGCGCTTGACTTAACGCATATTCCGACGAGTTTTATAATCAACGAACGGTTTAAATATATACCTGAATCAAGCGTGTGTAATGTGCGAATTGAATTAGCCAGCCAAAATGAAACTAATTACATTACTGGGGCGACATTTAATCAAATGTCTATAACTGAGAAAAGCAAGCCTTCAATTCATAAATCAGAGCTTTGATTCAATATCATCGAACTTAAGAGAATCCTTAGCCATCATTTGAGATATAAGTTATCTAAAATAAAGTACAAATCAAGTATAATTCAATATCATCAAACTTATGAGAACTTGTCTAAAACCTAATCTAAAATAAAATACTGCAATAAATATATCGAAACTTACAATTTCATTAACGCATCTTCAAGAAAACAACTATTTTTGTTTTGAGAAGAAAAAAAAAACCCGCTTTAAACTGGAATTTAAGTGTTTGAGCCGGGTTAGGTTCAGGTTCAATTGGATTTATAAATAATCAGCTTTAACATACATCTAGTTGAAATGGGATTTCTGAATAAAGCAAGAAAGTGCGCAATTCTCATCGAATATTCACAATACAGAGTGTTTTTATCAATATGAAATCTTATTCCCTACACGCTCTCTCAATTTTGTCTCGCTGGGTTTTTGCCCTCAACCACCGAGCTCTGAACTCAACCGATCCAATCTACCAAGCCGCCTGGGGCCCATCAAATCCATAATTTATCTTGTAGAACTGCCCCAGTCGCCCGCAAGACCAGCCCTCTACCTCAGAGCTGGTGCATACATGTTGTTATTAAGCCTACTAAACATGTCTTCTTCTCTTCATGTTTAAACAAGGGGTATCTTACAATAAACCTTACTCATTATGCTGCAACATATTGCAAGGGTTATGTGACAAAGGGCGATCATAACCCACCCTTCAAAATATATACATATAAACTGGATATGTAATTATATACATATAAATATATATTTCTATATTATATATGTTATATTACACTTGCCATAGCTTAGTGCAGGGTATATCCTGGACGAGAATCTCTGACCAAAGCACTTTTACTTATTTTTTGTAATACCCTTTTCCCATTTAAAATGACTTAGGAAAGGGTATACTCGTTTTGTGCAATTTTATGCAGCCGGTAGAGTTAAAGCATAAGGAGCTAAGATTTTGCAATATGATATATGCATGTATTTAATCGTGTATTTCATATGCAGAACGAGCTCATTTTTTGGGCGATATTGTTTACCATTTTCATACTATAATACATATATCTCGATTTAGAGCTTTGTACAGGGCATCTGCTGGCGAATAGCACTCACTAAAGCCCTCTATAATTGTAATTGATTTGCGTTTTTGCGTGCGCGGCGCGCAGACGCTTCTGTTATCTGTCTCTCTGTTGTTTTTCTGTTATTGTTATTGCTGCTGCTGCTTGTTGTTGTTGTTGTTGTTTGTTGGGGTGGCATTGCATTGGAAATTGAAATTGGCACTCGTGCGCAATGGGAAAGCTTTGCTGGCAAAGATGGCTGAGACGGCTGAGACCTCACCTGGCAACGGGAGCGGCATGACGCACCGCGCCGCAATGTGTCTGGCAGAACGGGTAAAACCGCAGCAGCAGCATAACAACAAATACGACAGCAGCGATCGTTTAACGACAATACAATGCAAACGCATTGGCTTATTAATTAAAACGTGCTTAATTTGTAATCTGTACGCAGGCAACGTAGTCATAGACGACATTGGCATGCGCTGCTGCTGCTGCTGCTGCTGTTACCGCCGTAACGCATGACTAAATACCGCACGATTAGTGATAAGCGGCGCCGGCGGCTGCGCAGCGCCAATTTTTCTATGTATGTATGCACGTCTAGCTAGTACACACACACGCACACGCACACACATGTACCTTTCGTTTATACATACATACAAATATTGCGAAAACCGATATTGCCTTGCATTTAACAGTTGTCGTAGCAGCAAATAGCCTTGACTCATGCTAACAGCGCCCTGTTAACTGACTGAAGTTTAAATTTGCTGCTTCCTGCAGCCACCCATGAATCACGCAGGTGAGCGAGCAACATACAACAACAACAACAGCAACAAGAAAACTGCTGTCATATCAATCAGCATTTGTTTGCTTAATGCCAAAGAAAAGAAAGAAATAATAATAATAAAATAAAAAAGGCTGGCGCATTGATAGTAACGCACATATGATTGTTGTTCTTGTCTCGCTGATTACATAAATAAACACTTCTACGCGTGCGCATGTGTTTTGTGCGGGCATCATCAGTGTGTACACAAAAAAAAAAAAAGCGCGTGCATGTATGTATATGTACATGTACATAAATATTTATGTTATTGTAATTGGCTACGCTGTAAAACTAAGCTTTTAATGCGTTTAAACAAACTTCTCTTACCGTTAGGTACTGTGACGCTGCTGACTTTAAGAGCCAAAGCTATTTTTAAACAACCTGCAAGCGCATACAACACACACACACACACACAAACGAACGCACACGTACACACCAATACACGCATGCGCCCTATCGCTCGTCTCTTGTGGTATTCCATTTCTGGTTTTTGTCATTTTGTTTTTATGCGTGGCATTCTTCGGCTCGCGCGAGCTTTCAAATGCTTGCAACTTGTGGGGGGCCATTTTGCATATTGTTGCATTTTCATGAATGAATTGCAACGCATTGGTGTTATTATTGTGCCTGCTGCTGCTTAGCTGATAAACTGCCTTGAGCTGCTCGCTATCAGCGTTTGCATGCTTTGTTTTTGTTTTGCATGCCATTATCGGCAAACAACAGCCGCAGCAGCAGCAGCAGCGGCAGCAGCGTCAGCAAATGAAAATGAAAATGAAACGCGCTCACTGACCTATAATAAGAATTTTCATAACTATGCATGCCATGCATGTAAGGCATGTGCATGTAACTGCACACACAGGCACATATGCATATGCATATACATACATAGACCACACAATATGTAAGGACTACAGCTTGATATGGGGAACTTAATTAAAAGATTCGCCTTTTAGTTATGTACTTCTCTTCAACATAATTAAATTATCTTACGAGATATCGAATCCATTCATAAAATGTAATTGAATTTCCGCTTCCGATCGAAGCTAAACATATCCAAACCACTTTCTTTTATAGTATCTGTTATTATTTATGCCAGCTTTTAGTCTATTTCTTCACATTTATCGAACTTGTTCTAATTGCATAATGTGTGTGAATTATTATTGGATTCTATCATATGAGAAACAAGAACTTCGTCTTTAATTGATCAACAATATGAAGTTCAAAACCGAGAAATAAATTAGGTTTATAATCAAATATTATTTGTACTTTCGTTTCTTATATAATCATTCTGCTTTTAACCATCTTATCGTTTTACTGCAATGAAAATTGAACTTTTTTTTTAAATTTCCTTAGCTTCATGCGGTGTGTGTCACGCCGAAAGAATTTCCCAAGTCGTATGCCGGAAATTGGGAAACCTTTTACTATTCATGAATACCTTTGCGTAGCGTTTTGTAGTACTGTCACGAATCTATAGGGTATTGTCAGCTACGATCAGGACAATGCAATGTCTTGTCAACCTAGCTAGTATCTTATGTATATATATATCTTATTTGGTAACCAAGTACAGTTTGGGGGATATTGTAAATACGCTTAATGGAAAACACTTTTAAGGAATTGTTTTACTATTATGCTGATGATGCTGATGATATCGTATAGCTTTCAGTAAAGTTATGTGCATATGCACGTGACTATTTGTGAAGGTGCTCTACAGATCAAACCCTTTGCCTACATCTTCTAGGGGGGGCGTGGCAAAACTAAAAATGAACTATATCTCTTTGATGAATGGCTAGCCTGTTTTCAACTGTCGGACTGTGAAAGAGTATCACGCAATCGGCTGCATCCGCCTGCAACATTCTTGGTTGTTGTTTTCCAAGCTTCCGGACAAGAAGCCTACGCGCCAGCGCCAGCTTATCGAAGTAGCCAGCTGATTGAAGAGTCAGATCAACCAGGCCAACCAAATAAACATTGTCCATTCATGGCCAACAGTGGCAAGTGTCGCGTATTCAACTATCCTATATGGAAGGCTGTGTACACGGGGTATGCTCGTTTAAGCATGGCATACATTGAAGACTCCAGTTTGATACTTGATTTAGGCCAAATAAATTGATTGTGACCCTAATACTATAAATAAAATATATTTCAAGGTTGCAACTCGTACGGTTCAAACCTGGAATTTCAAGTCGAATCTTAGGCCCAAATGATGATATTCAATAAAGAGCGGAAGGGGAATTTGAAGGGGGGCTCAAACATTGCATTTTCTAGCCATATAAGGTAGATGCCAATTTTGGGTAGGGATTAAATTTAGCCCGAAAGTTCTATATGAAAATATTTACGGCTTGCAATATTCTCAGTGGAACGGGCAATTAGAAATTGCAAATGGAATTGTTTTTCATGGAAAATGTAAGACTAGCCAGGGTTTGAACCGAAAGGTAGGCAGCTGGCTCAAACCGTAAATCAAACTAGCGATTTGAATTATTATGATTCCTTATATTATTATTATGGAAATTGGATGAAATCCATTTTGTTCGGTTCGGTAAAGGGCACCTTCACTCAACACAGGGTATTTTCATGTCGGTCAGCTGCTTATTGCCGAATACCCAAGCAATCAGTTTGACGATTTACTTATTGATATGCCCGACGCATGGTTGTGAGCTCACACACACACACACACACACTCGCACACTCGCACAAAAATATACATTTGTATGCGTGTGCGAGCGTGTGTATTTATGATAACGCTGCATTTGTTGTTATTCTTTATTTATTGTTGCGTCTACTTTTGTATCAATGTCAAGTTAACCATAAAAAAAAAGGTTTTGTCACTTACAGTTGACAACAATACAACAACAAATACTGACCCCAATTCCAGTTGGTTCTGTCTGCAAGTATGTGTGTGGGTGGGTATGTGTGTGTGTGTGTGCACACCTGCTGCATTGACTCGTACAGCCGGTGACTAACCCATAAATAAATCAGCTAACAGAACCAGCAACCACATCCTCCACTGACGTCTTCTCGCTCATCATAAATTTGGCCATAAATCAGAGTCAACTAGACAAATGAAAAGCTCTGCTCTGCTTGAATAAGCTTCTAAATACAAACATGTTAAGTGTTGTGCTCTCTCTCTCTCGCGCGCGCTCACACTCATCATTTCCACGGCTTTGCTCTATTTGCAGACAACGACGACAACAAGTGACAGACAGCGATAACAGTGCACACGTTAACAGCGCGCCAACAACAGACGTTTAGCCATGACACAAACCCAGCATACAACGCGCAGTTGCAGCAGCAGCAGCAGCGATTTACAGCATGCGCAGCAGCGACGTCGACGCCAAATGCCAAAGCAAATTTCGGCACTGCTGCTGTTGCTGCTGTTCAGCTGCGGCGCAGCCGTTACGACTGCCGCCGCGACTGCGCAGTCGCGCATCTATGCGCGGCCGCAGCGTGCAATAGACGACGCTGCCGCCGAAGTCGAGGCAGCGGAGGCGACGAGCTGCTGCCAGGGCGCAGCAGCCGCATCTGTTGAGCCTGTCACGGTGAGTATACACAGTTTGGCGCCAACGCGTCGCACCGAGACGTTGCATATTTGGGTCAGCTGCAGTTGCAGCGCCAGCAGCGCCCGCTTTGATAAGAGCCACGCAAATGGACAGCGTGCCCTGGCCTGGCATTGATAGTGGCCGCCTTTTGATGCCAAGACAAATAGCGCGCATATTCCCCTTTAATTAGGCGTTACTCATGCGGCCACCTCGCACTTGTATTTGCTTTGCCAATTAAAAGATAAATCCACCCCCCACCACTCCTTTCACCCATCTGCGTAGGGCAGCGCCTTCACCTCAAAGCAGAAGTCGCAACGGAAATGATATTTTTGGAATATTTATGCGAGTTGGCAGTAAACAAACGTTACGCGTGTGTTTACATAGATACAGATACGGATACGAATACACCTGCAGATACAGATACATACCAAGATATAGATACAAATACAGATACGGATACAGTTACAGTTATCAGCAAAAACAATTGGTTCGTATTTCGCCGCTTTGCGCTTTTCTTAGAACTGCGCCTGCAATATGTGAATGGAATTTTTATTGTTCCTGACAACGGAAACGTTGCGTCTAATCGAATTACGCTTTTTAAAGTTCAGTTAATCTTTAAGTTACCGGTAAAAAGTGCTTGGAATAATTGGATGTTTACATGAGCGTTACCTAGCTAAGCAATACACAAACAAGACAACAAGCCATATTTTTGCAAAAGCCTTTCATTCACCTTGTTTGCAGTTATCTTGACTTTCATAAAGGAATTTCCACTTGAACTCATATGCCTGTTATTTAATTTCCCTTAGACACCTGAACACACACTCTCTCTCTCTCTCTCTCTCTCTCTCTCTGTCGATCTGGTCTATATAGGTATCTATATAGTATTTGTCTGTGCTGCAACTTACCCCATAGAAGCTCCACATGAATGCAGGTTGTTCAGCTTTCCCTTAATTTCTGTGTTGCATTTGTGGTAATAATGTACATATGTTGATTTGAATTTATGTGTTGCCTTCTTTCTAAATGCTACTAGGATCTGCTCTCTATAGTCTATTCTCATTTCACATCTTCAGCCATCGGGCAGTGCCTACTACGATCTTACACTGTAACAAATAGTTGCGCAATACGCAAGATCAAAATTCTTTGCTGGCTTACTGCTTACTTCGGACGTGCTTCCTCCCTTAGCCTCTGAGTATACATATATATTCTTGGAAAACTTCGGTATTTAATGTGCGATCCTTATGAAATTTTCAGGGCATAAACGTGGCATACAAATGTGTGTAAATTCCAAAGCGGAAGATGATACGTCGAAAAATGCGTTTCTTTTAGCAATTTTGCTAGAAGCGCTGTAGGTATCCAGAAAGTTAAATATTTTGTATATATTTATATGCGCTACGAGAATCTACAAACCAAATTAGTTCTCACTAGCTGCTAAAAGTTCCGACTTGCTCAAAAAACAGGATTTCCAGATCGATTCTTATCGATTTCATGAAAACGCGACAAGTTATCGCTGATTGGCAGCTCAAGCTGTTCTGCTCGAGCAAATGAAGGAGCTACGTTCCAAATTTCAAGTCCAATCATTCCAATTGGAATGGGTTTAGGCCATAAAATAATTGTATGTAGTTTGAACAGCTTGAATAGCTATTTTCGTGCCCACTCTCACTCCCTCTCTCTCCCTTCTCGCTCTCCTGCTGTTTACGTGCTAATTAGTTAGTAGCCACTAAATGGCAACTAGCGGCAGCTGCTGGTGACACCATGATTCATGGTCAAGGCACGAAGCCGCGACTCGACATTGACGCCAATGCGAGCGACGTGTCAATTGGTCAATCAGGCAATACAACAAACAGCTGAACAGCCCGGAATGGTATTTGGCACGTGTTTCGTATAGGGAATACGCTGTGGCTTGAATACCCTCTCCGCGCGGGTTGACTCAGCTCTCAAAGATATTTGGCTCTGGACGATACCAAAAACAAAAAATATGCTGCGCATGTTTCAATGGAATTTGTTGGCTAACGTATCGCTATTGGCCTGGCCAGTGACTAATCTGCCGAGGGGCAGATACAGATACAGATACAGGTACATATGCTGCCGCATCTCTATGTACAGGTGTTTTCTATTGATTGCATTCGTCTGAGCCTTTGTTTAGCTGTTTTTCCAGACAAAACAGAGCCAAGCACTTCGTGGAACGCAATAAATGAGCTTATTCTTCTCCGTTATTGTTTAGGGGCTTCGCGTGTTTTGACACATGTGCGTTTTAGTTGCTCTGTTAGTTAATTCAATTCATATCTAATCATTACATGAATCGCCGTCGTCGGCAGAGCCAGGCAGCCAGGCCCAGTTGACATGCTCCGCTGCCATTTCGCAAGCTTGCGCTTGAACCACTTGCGAATTATAATCTCGTGCTTTTGAACCGAGCACCGATTACTTAATCGGTAAAGAATTCTCGAGAAATCACGAAAGAATTTCCACAGAAATACATATTGAAAATAACAAATTTGCCGCAATATCAATAAAAGTTGTTTTTCTGTTAAAACAACGAACCGAACCTGTTCCTATAAGCTATTGCATCTCTTTAGAACTGAGAGTTTATTGTATTGATGGAGAAACAGGTGAGAGTCCTCTGGTTAGCCTAACATAACCCAAAAGTTCTCGGGCCTGGAATGTCCCATTCGGGTTACCTTGGGCCCAGCGCATGCCAAAGCTGTCGCTTTAAGCATTTGAAGCATTTGGAAAATGTGTTCTCAAATAACTTGGTAGAGTTTCTTGTGCAAACGTTTTGAAATGTTTTGGGCAAAGATCGCAGTTATATCTCCACAAATGCGTTATTTTTCTATTTTGTGAGAAACGCTGAAAGTTATCCGAAAAGTGAGATATTTATATAAATCTACGAGAATCGATATGCGCATTCCTATAATCGATATTTATCGATTTCGTGAAAAAAAACGTTTGAATAATAGCTAATTATAATAATGCAACAAATATAAATAATGTTAATATTAATAAAAACAATTTGCGTTTCCTTTCGCACAGCTCGCGCTGGAGTTGGGCAATTTGACGGCAGAATTTGGCGAAGCTGATGGCTCCGGCGAGTCCTCTAAGGGTAAGAAGCGCTATGAAAAGAAATATATTTCTATAAAACTAATGTAATCCCTCACTTTACACTTGCTGCCACAGAGAACTTCAAGCGCAGCGTGTCACCTGGTAAGTGACACCATAAAAGATAGATTTTATAGATTCGCTCTCGAGGCAATTGCTAATCGGTTTCTGACCCGTTTCAGCTGCTGTGCGCAATGCAACGCCCGCGAGCTGCTCGCCACAGCCCACCATTGTGGAGCTGAAGCCACTGACGGAGCAGGCCGGCGAGCAGACGGCATCGAATGTCTACTATACGCCGGCGTGCACGCGCATCAATCGATGCAATGGCTGCTGCGGCTCCACGCTGATCGCGTGCCAGCCGACGCAGACGGAGACGCTGCAGCTGCGCGTCCGGAAGGTGGAGCGTTTTGGGGCCAGCAGCAAGCGTGTATCTGCCATTGTCAGTGTGGAGCAGCATTTGGCCTGCAAATGCGATTGCCGCATCAAGGCCGAGGACTGCAATGCGTATCAGGAGTATCGCAAGGATCTGTGCCGCTGCGAGTGCCAAAACACGGATGCCCGCGACAAGTGCCTGGAGCAATCGGATCACAAATACTGGGACGATGCCAACTGCACCTGCGCCTGCCGCTACAATCAATCCTGCACCACCGGCACCGTCTTCGATGAGACGCAATGCAAATGCACTGATGTGAGTGACGGCTACGCCAACGAGATTCCATCAATTCGGCGATAGATTGATTCAAATCGAGTTTCGGTTGCGGTTACGGTTCCGTTTCTGGTTGTGGGTTGTTCTGTTTTCCGGGCTGGTTGTTGGTTTTGTTTGTCTAACGCTCATCCACAATGCAAACAGACATGAAAGGCACACAAGCTTTCCACTCAGGACATCAAAATCTGAATCAATTCGTGCATATACATATATATATATACTTTTATATATATATATATGAACGTTTCGTTTATTGTCTACGTTTAATTGCATAATTGTTGTGTTAATGTCCTAATTTAAAATGTGTTTCTGTTTTATTTTCTTTTATGTTTTATTTTAGATCAAAACTCTCGAGTATTTTTCCTAGAATACACACATTCTATAACACACTGAAAACTCATAGATCCTATGCGTGTTGTTGTTGTTGTTGTTGTTTGTTTGTTTGTTTCAAATATGTGATAAATATTTAAAATAAAATAAAAAGAAAGACAGCTTTATTTGCAGAAGAAATTCGAATATCATACATCACAGTCACATAACCACAATCAATCAATCAATCAATCAATCAATACAGCAACAAACAGCGGTTGAGTGAAAGAACCATTTGACAACAGAATTGATCAAAAAAAGAGAAAAAGAAATTTAATTTTAAAGAAAAAAAACATTTTGTTTGAACCAATTTGTGATACGTTTGCATTCGGAAATCGATATATGTATATGAATATTTGTAAAATTAAAAACGGTTAAATGATTAGGAATTCGTTTAGAGAATGTTTAAGGCAAATGTAACTTATAGCTGAGTTGAGGCCAAAACACACACAACGTTATTTGTGTTGCATTGTGTGAGTATTTTTGTTGATTTATGTTTATACATATGAACCCATCTATTATATATTATTATCCTGCATGTGCTTCGGTATCCTTAATCAACCCAGCTTCGTATAAATCTGCTTGATATTCCCCATATATAGTTAACAGCCATTAACCAACTGACTCTTATCATATACAATTATCCTAATCTATCAATATATATATTTATATATATTAATTATGTTTCTCTATACTCAGCCATCGGCGCCCAGCGATGTGGCGGACCGCAGACGCTTCATAGTACAGGCCGTTGCCGTGGAGCCGGACAACAGCACCCTCTACAGCGTCTAGGAGAGATTCTTCGGGCCGTTCGTACTGAAGTTTACTAAAGCATACACAAATTACACCTATACGTAATTTAAAGTACTTTATATTATTTATAAAACACATAGCTTTACTATCTTATCTAGCTATACAGCCCGTTCATATATTTCAGTATTCCATCTTTTGTTTTTTTTTTTTTTTGGTTTGTCCATTAATTTTAAAAGCGATTTTCATGTATTTGTTTTTTTTTTCTAAATGGGATTTTGTGTAGCTCCCAGAATTCGTGCATTCCATTTAATTATGTGTGTGTTTTTTTCATTTGCATTATTTAAGTTTTAAAGTTTTCGCATTTTACACAACATCTGTCAATCGTAGCTCTAAGACTTAAATAACAATCACAGTTCAATTGTCGTCTTTATGCGAACCAATTGTAGGCGAGTTACTATAATTATTAATTATATGTATCATTATTCCGTGTCCGTTACATGAAAAAAAAATCAATTAATAATGAAGATACGTCAAACGAAAATAGCAATGTTTTATTCGATTTGTGAATTATTTGGATTTCGGCCCATATAAAAAAAAAAATATTGTTTGTTATTTAAATTCACAGATTTGTGTTGGCTTATGCCAAAGCTTTGCGATAAATAATGTAATTAAAGTGTGCTAAAAAAAAAGGAATATAATAAATTCAAGAATTTTTTATTAAAAGGCATCAATAATTTGAAAATTATGCGAACGCTTACGACAATTCAAATATCTGAAAGATTCAGTTTAGGTAAATTGAAAGGCTGCAAACAAATTTTGAAACGCACCGGTTCAAACCCGGGATTCCTATTTATAGTATAGTATCAAGCGATATGCACAGGCGACACGGACATTGTGGTAAAGATCGAAGAGCGTCAGCGATGCTATTCAACTGAGTTATTTGAACGGCGATCAAGTGGCGTTAAGACTGTGTTCAACTGTTATATTGCCATTGATTAGGGCAATTGAAAGCAATGAGGCACTCATAAATCCCGTCGCTGAATGTCAGCAGATAAGATATCGAAATGGCTAAATTTAGTTTAGTTTCTTGGTGGCCAGTTGCCTTATAAATAAACGTAGTCCAGATTAGACTAACGCCGTGTATAAAAGACTTTGCGTTGACAGCGGGGCGTTTAAGTTATCGTCACGATGATTTCCAGTTTGATTGGATCGATATTGCTGCTGGCTGCCGTTTGCCATGGAGCACCACCTGGTAGTCTCAGCGGTCGCATTGTGGGCGGCGAGGATGCCACACAGGCACAGTTTCCGCATCAAATATCGCTGCGCAACGGCGACTCCCATAGCTGCGGCGGATCAATCATATCAAGGAACTGGGTGCTAACCGCTGCTCATTGTGTTTCCTACGAGGATGCCAATGGGGAGTTAGTCATTCAGCCAGCCAGCCGATATAGCATCCGTGCCGGCAGCAATGATCGATTCAAAGGAGGCGTTCAGCTGCAGGTGGTCGAGATCATTGTGCACGAGGATTATGGCAATTTTCTTAATGATGTGGCTCTACTTCGCGTGGAGACACCCTTTATCTACTCGGCAAACATCCAGTCGATCGCATTGCCCACCAGAAATACGCCAGACGACGCTGACATCATTGTCTCCGGCTGGGGTCGCCTTACCCAAGGCGGCGATGTGCCACGATATCTGCAATGGACAACGCTCAAATCACTGTCGCTGATGGAATGTGATCGTCGCATTGGATATGGCTATCCCAATATCTTGTGCCTGCTCCATGAGGCAGACAACGGTGTCTGCAATGGAGACTCGGGTGGACCTGCCCTCTACAACAATGAAGTTGTTGGCATTGCCGGCTTTGTCTTTGGTGGCTGCGGCACCACCAACCCAGATGGCTATGCACGTGTCTACCCCTTCGTGGATTGGATTAAAGCCCACACCGACGTTGTGTAGGGGAACTATACAACTTTTTTATGTTAAAATTAATTCGAAATAAACTTTAAAAATTAGTTTCTCGTTTTCGTCGAAAGGGACTTAGAGTAATTGATACTACGATACGAGACAGACAGGTAGAGAGAGAGAGAGAGAGAGAGAGAGAGAGAGAGAGAGAGAGAGAGAGAGAGAGAGAGAGAGAGAGAGAGAGAGAGAGAGAGAGAGAGAGAAAGAGAGAGAGAGGGAGAGAGAGAGAGATAAAAGTCGCTTGATAAAGAGAGTTCAAGTCATATTAGCTACGAAAGAGATAATGATTATATAGTCATGCATTGCTTGAAATTATGAAAACCGCATAGAAAGGCGGTTCGCATTTGATAATAACTTGATTTGCATATCGTTTTTAACGTACTACAGGGTCCAATATACGATGTCTCTGACGCTTATTGTAATCCCTAACTAAACATTTATCTACCAAGTCCTTTCCAAAGATTTTTCATGATTTGGCCTACAAATTATTTCTAGCACAATTGGAACAATATTTACTTTTAATTCAAGTGATCCACTAATATACATTAATATTGTTTGATTTGATAGCTACAATTATTGGAATCTCGGACAGTATTAAGGTATTTAGGGTAAAGCACAAGTGACCTTGCTCGCATTACCATATTAGGCATGATCTTCAAAACGGAATCTTAATCATCATTATTATCTTCAATGTCATCGCCGATCGGGACGTTATTTAGACATTGCATATAGATTTGTATATCTAGTCTATAGCTAAACTGCTCGAGCCGACGCCGAGCGATCGGATCTCATTTGACATCGAGGGTGCGCTGGAACATGTGCATGGCCAATGAGCGCAGTCCCTCGCTGACAATGGGCACATTGCGTGGAAAGTCGCATTCACGGGCGGGCAGGCCGCACAGCTGACGGCGCAAACGTAAATCTTGGCGTGCGCTTAATGCACGACTGCCCGGTCCGCAGACATTACCAACCAAGCGCTGTCGCTCGGCAGCTGCGCTGCGCAAGCCCATCTGGACACAGGCCAGCGGCTCCACATGCTCGGTATCCAGCAGCTCGCGATAGTCGTGTGCTGGTGGCGTCTTGCTAGGCTCAGTTAAATCGCCATTGGCTTCCGTTTTTACCAGCATCTGGTGCTGCTGCGCTTGTTGCTCTTCCTGTAGCAGCTGCTGACGCGCATCCTCAATAATGCGACGGGCATATTGTGGGCCGGCCATGCCAAAACTGATGCCCATGTCCAGGAGCACACGATGTGGCTGCCAGCGCTGTTTGGCGGAGGTGTTCCGATCGGCGCCCTGCTGTGCTGCATGCTCTGTCGCCTGCTGTCGCGTCTCCGCAATTAAACCCTGCCAGTCGACGCCCAAAGCATCACCAATGCCTGCAAAGCGAAGTGCATGAATTAAAATTGTGTGCTGTCATCCTGAATCAAACTTTGCTTAGGATTCTTTTATCCATTCTTATGTTAGAGCTCTCGCTGTTGCTGTCTCTTACCCTTGTGCCTAGCATCCTCCTCCAATTCGCCGTCTGATATCTCTTCAAAGTCCAGCACCTCGTCCACCTCCTCGCTTTTAATGTTTGTCTGTGCCTGTGTCTGCGACTCAGGCTGTGTTTCGCCCTTGATAAGCTCTTCGCTGGTGGACAACGTGTCGGTGGAGAGCTCTTGGGTGCCAGCTAGTGCGCTATCCAGTTGCAGCTCGCATTTGGGCTTCACTTTATCCGTTTTGTTGAGTATATCATCGTCGCTGTCACTGATTTCGCTTAGCTCGCCGTTTGGCTTTGGCTCCTCTTTAAGCTGGCGCAGGGACGTATCTGTGGATAGCTCCGATGCTGGCTCACCAGCTCCGGTGTTCTGGCCAAGCTCCGATGTGCCCGCCGAGTCCTCGGATGCATCTTCCTGCTTGATGTTTGGCAGCTTGCTAACTTGCGCCAATATGCCCGGATTGGTGGTAGCATTGGCAGCGCTCTGTGCTGCAGCCTTGGCTGCCGCCACAGCCGTGGTGGCTGCTGCTACAGCACTGGCCTGTGCCGCGGCATTGCCCGGCTTGGGCTGGGCGTGCGGCAGCACCTGGGTAGCAGACGCCGCTGTAGTCGCTGCCGCTGGTGGCATATGTGGATGCTTCTTGAGAAAGGCGCCACCGCCAACACCGCCTCCATAGGGCATACGCTTGTGCGGAAAGCCACGCCCGCTGCCACCGCCACCATGATAGCCACCTGGTGGCTGCACTGGCAGAGTCATTAGCGGCGGTGGGTGCGACCTGTAGCCACGTTCGCCATGGTCATGGCCATGCGCCGGGCCACCGCCGCCGCCACCACCACGACGGAAGCCGCGTCCTCCGCCTCGCTCGCCACGTGGATGCACATGATGATGCGGCGAGGGTGAGGGTGGATGATGCGGCGGTTGCACATCAACGCCGGCTCCATTGTTTCGCCCAAAGTTCGGCTCGTCGCTGTCCCGCCAGTCGCTGTTCGACTGCTGCCAGGAGCGCGGCTTTTCGCGCTGATCATGCTCCAGCCAGGCGGGCTCATTCTTAACCACACCATTATCGCCGCACTCCTCTCGCTCGTCTGCATCCCAATCGGGCTCCGAGGCGGAATGATGCTGCTGCTGTGATGTTTGTTGTGTTGGCGGCTTCTGCCGCTTGGGGCCACCCACAAAGCCGCTGGCGCGTCCAGGCGTGACGTTGCCATTTGCACCGCCATTGCCACCGCCGCCTACATCATCGTCCCAGTCGCGTTCCCACTCGGCGCGATAATCACCGCGTGACGGCAAACGCTCGCGTTCTCGCTCTCTCTCCCGCTCGCGTTCACGCAAAATGCGCTCTCGCTCCTCTGAATAGAGCGCATCATCCGCGCCCAATTCACGATAATCGCGCAGATCGCGCGCCTCCAGCCACGCCTCACGCTCCCTAGAGTAGCGTGCATCCATATACGCACGCTTGTAGGCCCTGCAAATGGGAATTGAGTTTAAATAGGTATTGCTATGAGAAGTATTTCGTTGGGGCTGATATCTGAACATTTCCGTGGCTTATTGAATTGAAGAGGAGGTATAAAAGAACGTCTAATCTATATACTGACTCATTAATTGTGATGAAGATGAGAAATTCCAGCCGAAACGTTTTTGCTAACCATCTTGAACCGGCTTGAATCTCATTTTCAAAGTCCCTCTCAGGTGCAAAATGAATTTTCAAATATCTATGTAACACAATAACTTGAGACTTGCAGATTGAAATTGTACAGAGATCGGATTTGAAGCAAAGCATAATCCGGGCAAGACCGGGCAGTACCAGCTAGTATTGAAAGGTTAACCCACAGGCCAAACGTATGTATTACAAAATAAACTAAATCTGCACGTGGCATACGTGAACCGAAATGCAGAGTTTTGAGCTAGCTGGGTCAACTACGGCTCGCTTCAATCATTGGCCTATGTAAATGTTCTGCTTTTATGATGTTGGGGGTAAATGGGATTATTGTTGTTACCGCTCTCGTTCCTCCTCTGAGTAGAGATCGCGTGGATCTCGCAAGCGCGGCGGATAGTGCTCGGGCAGGGGGCTGAGCTCGCGACGTCTTTGACCGCCGTAGCGGCGCATCTCGTCGATCAGGCCGTGTCGTTCGGCCTCGATAAATTCCTGCTCACGCTCATACACATCCAGATCGCGCTTGTCGCGCACATGTCGACCTGTGCGCTCCACTGCTTCCAGCGAACGTTCGCGGCTGCCGTATGGCATGGGCATGTCCAGATCCCGTACGCCAGCACCGCCGTATGGTTTTTTGCCCTCCTCCTCCTCCTGGCGACGCATCTTTTCGCGTGCCAAACGCTCACGCTCCCGCTGCCGCTCCTGGCAACGTGCCAATGCCTCGGCCCGCTCCTTGTCACGGGCCGCCTCACGTTCGGCACGTTCCCGTTCACGATCGCGGCGATCCCGTTCACGTTCGCGCAGTGATAGGTCATCATGCCGCTGCAGCTTGTGTTCGTGCCGCTGCCGGTCGTGCTCCCGTTCCACACGCTCGCGCTCGCGCTCCCGCTCCCTTTCACGTTCGATGCGCTCGCGTTCTCGCTCCCTCTCCCGTTCACGTTCCAGTGACGGTGTGCGTCCCCGAGCACGCGTTTGTATTATGATCTTCTCGCGCGACATTAGGTGATGATGCATACGGGCTGCGGGCGTTCCGTTTGGACCTAAGCCCGAGCCGGGGCACGGACTCTTCTGCCGCTTGCCCACCACATCCTGATGTATGCGTATTTTGGTGGTGGTCGTGGTGCTGGAGACGCCTGTCGGCGACCGACTGCTGCCCAAGCGATGATGATCCCGCTCCCGTTCTCGCTCCCGATCGCGATGCACACCGCGCAGTTTCTCGCGCTGCTCTTTGCTGGCAGCGCGTAAATGCTTGCGCTCCGCCAACTTCTTTAGTTTGGCCTGTGTGGCCGGCGACAGAGCGCGATGGCCGTGGCCACTGAGTGCGGCGGCGGCTCGCTTTTTGAGACGCGCCTCCTTGAGCTTACGCTTGATGTGATTGCGCTTGGCCACCAGTTTCTTTTGGACATGATCTCTGTCCCGATCACGATCTCGCTCCCGATCACGCTTATCGCGCTTGCGTCGCTCGTCGCCCGACGACGTGCTGCCCGCACGCCGCGAGCTCTTCTTCTTCCGATGATGGCGCTCGGCAGCACGCTGATGCGGATGGGCATGGCCATGATGGTCGCGCTCGCTGTCTGAGCTGCTGTAGGAACTGCTGCCGCTGTCCGTGTCCGTGCTGGAGCTTTCGCTGCTGGAGTGTGTGTGTCGTGATTTTTTGTAGCGACGCAATTGGTCTTTGGCTTTTTTCTCCATCTCCATTTAAATGCGCATTAATGAAAACAACACAAGTCGAGTGGACAATTCGCGCGCTTTCGTCGAATCCAATGTTTTTTGTTGATGTTTATGTTTATCGTTTGGCGTCGTTTATTTTGCAATCTTGTAGGTACAATTTGTCAGCTTATTTATTTTTCTAATTTAGATTTGCATTTTCATAAATTTATCGATACATTTGCTGCAGTGCTGTCGATGCGATGCGTTGGCAGAATTGTTCGCTGTTGACAACAGATGTCGCTAATGTGCAATCACACACAGAGGGCGCCAAAGGTTAAGCCTAACACATTTATTTGAATGTCAAATATTTATACGTTATATTAAAAGCTGCAAAGCAATTTCGATAGAATCAATTAATATTTAAAAAATTCACTTAAATATTTATTTATTTCTATTTTCTAAACATTTGGCACATGTACTTATTACTTAACTGAGGACTAGCTATAGCTAACACGGTTAGTTGCTATTTACAAAATAACAATATAACAAATAGCCAGTTGCCTCTGATAGAATTTCGAGGCGTTCAGCTTATTCGGAATTGGTGGGTGGTAGTTTTACAATAATGCTACATTAGTAAGATTTATTGTACATTATGCTATGCCTCGTTGTCTTTGTTTTGGTTGTACATGTTCTCTGTGTTTTGTAATTGCGCTAGCTCGGTTTCTATTGTGTGTTGTTTTGTGGTGAATGCAGTTTAGCTCAGCTGATGCCAAAAAAATGATTAAACAAAAATATATATATATATATAACAATAACAACTGCAATTGAAAGAAGGGCCAAGCCGGCGTTAAGGTGCTCAGTCGTTAGAGCTTGCGCAGCTTTTCGGGCACAACTAACGGATTATCACGGCGTATTTCGCTGGCGCCCATTTCGCGATAATCGAAGCTGCAATCGTGGCGATCGCTATAGCGATGGAAGGCACAAAATGTGCCGCCGCAACGGCAGGAGAAGCCGCCGGTCAGGCCGAACTTCTTGCCGCACTTGTCGCAGCCCTTCTGCTTTGGCTGCTCCTGAGCCTGACCATTATCGGCAGCATCCGGCCCTCCAGACGACTGCTGATTGCCTGCGGCCTGTTCGTCAATTTGCTGATGCTGCTTTTTACCCTGTGCAGCATCGGCCACTTGCTCCTCTGGTAGCTTTGCAACGCAGTCGGTTATAGTATCTGTTCCGGTGCCAGTTACATCCAATGGGGCGTTCGAATCCATTATCTTCGACTTCAGTGTGCGCGTGGTGCTGCCATCATTAGAGATTGAATCAATTGTGTCCTCCTTCGCTTTTCCAAACTCGCGCAGTTTTCTATTTTCCATCTTAACCGGGTTTTCAGATTCGTTTGTCAAAGCCTTCAGTATAAAATTTATTGAATTTTGCTGCCCAAGTCTACTACGACTTCCAAGTGTCTGAACAACCAGCAGATGAATGTGCATTAAAGCTGTAAAAAGGCAAAAATCAGTTAGGTATGGGACAATTGGTCCATCCTCACCGAATTTACTTATCGAAAATCGAATTTACTGTACTTATTTCCAGTTAGAGCGAATAACACTAGATTTTCAAGGTTGGCTAATATATGTATGTATGTATAGTATGTATATGAATTTCAAAGTCGGTTATACAACACCAAAATAAAAGGTACGTGTTTTGCTTTTTATTATTCATAGACATTCAACAATCCAACAACGAAGATCCTTCGACCAACCACCTAACTCCCTTGGAAAGGAGTCTGCTGAGCAAATTAAAGCTAAGCGTTGCCATTGATTACGTCCTGCATGTGCCGGCGATACCAATCCCCCACTGGCGTCCGCAGCACACAAACAAACGCGCCATAGCACCAGTCAAGCACGGTCCGGGTGGAGCGGCGAGCATGCGCATTGCAGCTGTTAATGGCCGGCACAGTTTGCTCGAGATTCAACCGTCGCGGGCCACCGAAGCTCTCAATAATGCGCATCGCATCAAAGCCAATGCCATCCTGCCATAACTGTAGGCGCGTCCAGAAGCAGTAGACATAACGGTGCACATACGGTAAGTTCTTGTACTGCTGCCGTTCCAGCGCCAGTCGCTGGTCTGGACTAATCCTCTCGCTGCGATAGCACTCATCTCGAGCACGGAGAATCGCCAGCGATTGGGCGGACCTTGCTGATGAAGTCGGCGTCGGCAGTGCCAACAGCAGGCAGTCATGTGTCAGCACTGCGAACTGCGGAAAATTAAACTAGTGTCAAATATTTATCGTTATCGATAACAGCTTGCTGGCCAAATTAACGGTATGCGTATGCAAGCCTGTGTGCAGGCTGCGACTGTTTCCATATTTGATGCTCTTGCTCATGCGTTTACTGTAAAGTAGCTTTATTCATTCTTTGACTGTTGTATAATGCCTGATAGTTGCCAATATACAGTGGCGGACAAAAAATTCGAACAACCAATATTCCATTTTGCCTTGTTAAGTACGATCGTCATAGCCTTTTTTTTTACCGCTAGGGTGCATTTTTTCTGAGTACAAATATTCGGCACAATTAAATGTACCCCATTTTAAAATGAATAAGTATATATTGATATATATTCTCACAAAATGAAAGGTCTTTAATTTTGAATCTGGGGCCAGAATATTTAAGATTAAAAAGTCTTCCGTCGAAAACTTTCTTCAAAAATGTTAATGTAGCCGAATCAACAAGGAATGTATGCTTTTCCGATCAGAAAGAAACCGAACATGGTGAAATTTAAATATTCAATCAAAAATATAGTTTTATAGTTTATTCCTGTCCGAATTTTTCGCCCGCTACTGTACATGCAAAGTTAATTGGGTTTACGATTTGTTTAAACAGGTTTTAAGTACGTAATCGTAAAAATTACAAAAAAAAAAGAAAGAAAGATTAGCAAGATGAAATTGAGTATACTTTGTTAACCCCTTCAGTAACTACTCATAGAGCATTCAAATTTGTTTTCGATTTGCGGCTATTTGATTCGTTTCTTTGAAAAAAAGGCAAATATTACTTGATTTTCGAAATCGTCAAGTTATTTAGCTTTAAGCGAGTGTATACCACATTATAATAGATACTTAGATAGTAAATACATTTATGCTCTATCCAGATTTCTGTGTTTTAAGTGGATGACTCACCAGCACCGACAACAAGATCAGCACTCGTAGTATTGTCATCTTGGGTCCACCGATGGAGCCGGACTGAGCAGCATGTGGATAAAGGCATACAGCATCTGGTAATTGCTGATTGCGCTTATCAAAAAACAGCATCATGAACAACAGCGTTGATAGCCATTGTTGTTGCCCCCAACCCCCCAGCAGGCCAGACGACTGCAGCAGGAATGACGTCAGCCATTTGGCATTTGGCACGTGTAACGTACGTAGATGAAGCCAGAACCGTATCCAGTTGGGGGTAGGCAATAATCGAATTGGATTTGGTTCGGATCGCATCGGATTGGATTGGATCGGATTGGATTGGAATGGATTGGCAGTCACAGCTGCCGCTCGTCATCTGTTTTATGTTAACACATAAGTCGGGCATATATTAGAGGTATTCGCAAACTGTGTTCATGTGTGTTGTGGATGATCATATATGCGGATCATGTGCATATGGAACGCAGCGGCAACATTTTTGTAAGATTCCACACTTGTATTTGCTTGTAAACAAGAATTTTTTTTTATTTTCTCCTTCTTTTTATATATGCATATAAATATATCTAGATATGTATATATTTTGTGTTTGATATTTTTCGGTGATCTCGCAAATGGCGCAGAAGCCAAATATCCATATCCAAATCCCCAGCCCAAGTTCACATCGAAAAGCAAATCAAATTGAATTCGATTCGACAGGCAGCCGAAACGAGCGCATTAATAATTGATTGCGTTTAAGTATATTAAAATCGAATAAAACTTTAGCAAATCTCCAAGGCTGCTGCCTGGCATCTGGATGCGATCACCGGCATGTGCAAGATTTTGTAAATGTCCGTGCGGATTTGACATTGAAATAAACGAAGTTTACAGAAATACCATACGGTACACAGAAGTACCATATATATCTATATATACATATAATGGTATACCTTGAAGGTTCTTCCGCCCATCTCTCCATATCCATATCTTCACATAATGTGAACTAATATGCGATTAGCTGACCCATAAAAACTTGTATGTACGTCTACTTGCTGTTGCAGCCGCAACTATGTACTTAAAACATATTTTTACTGAGCTACAAAAATGATTTTAATGATCTTGCCTCGATGTTCTCTACACATATATTTCCGCATATTAAAATCAAATTTTATTAGCAATCATTTCAAGGTCTAATCGAATTTTGGTATTTTGCATAGTAAAGTACATTTAATTGCCGCTCCATCAGTTCGAATTCAAAACGGGGAAGTTTCCTTAAAAATACGATTCTCTCTAGTTTTAAGCATTTACCTGTAACATAGGTATATATGTTTTTAGGCTCTATCATAAATCTAGGCGGCAAGAAACAAAAACAATTCTCTCAATTTACATGGCACACACTAGTTGACTGTCAGTTGGGGTCGGTTGGGGGAGTACGGGGTGTGCTGGGTATGTCAACTCAACGCCAAATTTGCCGCCATCAACTGACGCCGTCGTCGTCGTCGTCTTTGTCGTCGTGACAAAGTCGCGCAAATATTTTAATTGCAATTTTTTTCTAGCTGCCGTCGTGTTGGTCGCATCGCATTTTCCTACCTTAAGATTATAAGTAAAATTAACAATTTTTAATTGACTCTGAAAATTAAAACAGCAACAGCAACACGGCGAGCTGCATTCAAATTTTCAGCAAATTTTCATAGATATTTTGTCGAATATATTTCTAAATATTATTTTAGATCGTATATACCCCAAACAAATTACCAAGCAGGCTGTGTTGATTTCTAACGGTAACTTATAACATTTGCATTGCAAGGTGGCAACCCTGCATAGCTGGTTATAAACATTAACAAGGCAGTTGAACTGCCTGGCAAATTATTGATATCAATATGTGTTAGACGACTAAACAAAGTTGGCAAAATACATAAATACTATTAAGAGAAAGCATAGATAATAGCTAGAGCCCTATTGGATTTATCTAACCATCTTTGGTAGATACCAATTTTGGGTAGAGCTCAAATTTAGCCCGCAACTTCTATATAAAAATATCTAAGGTTTGCAATATTTTCCATAGAACGGGCAATATAATATAATATATGACAAACTAAGGGTTAAATCAAAATCTGGGTTCAACGTTTCACGAACCTAACTTACAGGCAGGAACTCGGTTCGAGACGTAAGCCAAGCCACAGATCAGTTTTTTGGGGCCTGCAGCTCTTTTTATGTTACTGATAAGAATTGTACAGGGTATCTTAGAATAGTTAGCTCTTTACTTGTGATATGCTTGTTGGTATGGGGCATCCTGCAGTCGAGCCATTTTTTCCGCAGCACGCCCACTTTTTGGCTTTGGGGCATCTACAGCAATTTGTTGCATTCGGCCCACGCGGCGTATGAGTGTGTGTGCATGCATGTGTGTGTATGCGACTGTGTGTGTGTATGTGTGTGTGTTTGTGAGGTGCTTTTCAGATCTGTGCTTTATTTTCTCGTTTTTTTTTTAGTTTTCCTCAGCGGAAGCGTTGACCACATGATACTGTGGCTAGGATGCATATGGGCCAATGGAGCGAATGCGCAATGTTCAATTCTTGGCCTGTGACAAGGCTGGAGAGCGGATGAGTCTTGGGTGTGTGGTGCGGCCGGATTAGGGCGACAATTTTTGACATGGCCGATGACATAGCGATGGCGATTGCGATGGCGTCAAATATTCAAATGCCAACGGCGCGCATCGAAAACGCGTGAAAGCGCCAACAATTTTCACTTGTTCTTGAGCTGTGCAAAACATTTCGCAAGGTATTTGCAGTTTTTGAATTTTATTACATTATTATGCATTTTTGTTGTAGAATCGCAATTAATAATAACAGAGCAACAACAACTTGGTACACGAGTCGCTCGCGCTTGATTTGTTTGGCATTTATTTCAATTTTATTAAATTAAAGTTGTTTTTGTTTAAGCTTTTTGTTGTTGTTGTAGTTGTTGTTGTTGTTGGCATTAGTAGCCGGCAACGGAAATCTTTCGCATTGGCAACAATCTTAGCCAATTTGGCTGTCTGCGCCGCCACCTGACCAATTTTGTGCGCGTGAGCCCACGGCCTGCACTGGTCACAGGGGGATGAATGATGAGTGTATATAGGAGGCGGTGTCAACATGGGCGATTGTCAATTGTCATGCTGTTTTCAATCAAAATCTGACAAATACTGAGCATTTTCGGGCTGCACATGATTGGCCCCACATAAAAATATTATTTGTGTTCATATACTTTTAATATATGTGTAAATATCTATTGTTAGCGTGTGAGTTTCACAAATACTGTGCGATGATGCAACTCTTCGTGTAATCTTCAACAAAATGCTTGCAGTAGGAACAGTGTAAATAATCTAGAACAAAATTCGTGCAGTGGGAACAGATATCCGCACGTCGACTTACACTTGATTCAAAGTAAAATGTGTGTGTATATACATATACATATACATATACATATACATATACATATACATATACATATACATATACATATACATATACATATACATATACATATACATATACATATACATATACATATACATATACATATACATATACATATACATATACATATACATATACATATACATATACATATACATATACATATACATATACATATACATATACATATACATATACATATACATATACATATACATATACATGTACATGTACATGTACATGTACATGTACATACACATATACTAATTTATATGGTATTTTTCATCGAATTATAGAGGCGATCATGATATATCGGATTGTTTAACGAATCTCAATTGTTACATGGAGGCATTTAATCAGGACAGTTTAATTACTGTTATAATGGTTTTCAAGATTGAACAGTTCCTTATCAGTAAATACTTGTTCTGAAAACATAGTCATTTATATACATCGGGTAAACCCCATGTATTTCTAATGATTAGGCTCTAATCAGTTATTTCTTCGTTTTTAATACTAGACACTGTCTTGGTGTCTTATTGTTTAATAAAGAGAACACCGCATTATGATAATGCCAGGGAAAAACGCACACAAACTACACAAATTATGGTCTTTATACACAAAATCGTCTATAGAAAGCTCAGCCCAATTACTACATACACATAGATATGTATGTTGTATTTACACAATTATAACGATCTGATAATTTAAAATAATCCAATTAAAAGCCGTCTTAATTAGTTAGAAGAACTTTGCAATATTTATTTCTTGTAGCCCACACTTAGGCGCTATGGTTCTTAATCACCTTCCTTTCATTGGGGCAGTCGAAGGTCACCTCAATGCCATTTGGCAGCCAAGACCTATTCCAGATCTCAACGTTGCACACCTTCTTAGCATCATTACTATCGATAAGCTCAACATTGTATTTATCCAATGAGCCCGAAACGACCTGTGTGCTTGCCGATAAAACCTTCGAGATACTTAACAAAAGAGAAACGTCGTTTCTTTAGAGCGCCGGTCCTTAACAAATTACGAAGATCCGATGCCTACCGGTAGTTGGGTCCTTCTCCAGCGGCCAGCTTGGTCAGAGAGCTCTGCAGCCTATTTGTAGCCTCTTCAATTTCACTTTCGCTCAGCTGTCGTGGACCGCCAAATACCTGGGGATAGCCACTGACCAGCACAACAGCCGCACAGACGAACAATACCTTTGCCACAAACATCTTGGTCTTTGGAGCTGCCTAATGTCAAATATAGACTGACTAGAAAGTGATGTGAACCCAATTTATATAGGCACCAGTTTACGTGTTATCAACTTTGCTTGCATATACTCTGATTAGCTCTTGACCCATGCTGATTAAATCTTTCATAGAAAATATTTGAATATATTTGAGTAATTAAATAGATGTCGGGAAAGAAAGAACAGCACATATTTTTATACCCTGAGCCCATTAAAAATGGGTAAAAGGGGTATAATGTATTTGTGCAAACAGGCAGAAGGAAGCATCTCCGACCCCATTAAGTATATATATTATTGATCAGCATCAAAAGCCGATCGTCGATCTAGCCATTTCCGTCTGTCCGTATGTATGAACGCAAGGATATCAGAGCCTATAAGAGCTAGAGACTTGAAATTGGGTAAATATGATGAGCTAGAGTCACGAAACTTGATATGTTGCTTCTAGAATATTATATATATATCAAGTATCTTTAATTATATACCCGCTACCACCGCAGAGCTATAAATCAAGTTAATAACCCAACTTGTATTGCCTTTTTGAGAATACACAAGTATTATATGGTACAATAAAATATACTGTAGAGAATTTCATCAAATCGGTTAAGAAAAAATCAAAGTTATATACACACACACATTCATGCGCGTCCGCTTCGAATTCTATCAACATTATTGCAATTGCGATTGTTTTCTGTGCTGCTATTTAAATTCGTTTATTCTTAATAATACTTAATTATTGGTGTGGCTGTTGAGTAGAGTCATCAGCACGAGCGCGTTGCGCAAACTGCATTTGGTGTTGGAATAAGAGGGTTCAGGGTATTCCCTAGTCGGGAGCTCCCGACTAGAACCTCTTACTTGTTTAAATATAATTTTTGGTAGGGCTTAAAAACTCGAGATTACGATTAACTTTTCGCTTAATTAAAATTGTAAATTGTTTTAATTTAAATAAATGTACGGACTGTTCACATAAATATTTGTAACGTGTTAAATAAATGTCAAAAGTTAATTTATTTTACAGTCTAATGAACTCCTCTTTGCATAGTACTATAAATTATTTGAGAAACAAAACATTATGTTTTAATTAATTAAGAATTTTATATAAAAAATGGACATACAAATTAAGAAGATATGTATAGTAGCTGGTTTTACCGGCCATTTCCCGGGCCAAGTGCTCGTAAATACTTTTCCACAAAGTCATCACGTCGAAGATAAAATACCCCTTAAGACATATGGGTAAGTTTTTGATAAAGTGAATTATGTTTACATCAATAAGATTAAGAATCTTTTTTTCGGAGGGGGGCTGGCATCCACTAAAAACCCTCTCATCATGCCTATCTCCACTTCAAAGTAGGGCATTTCTCTTGCTTTGCGCTTTCATTTTTTGGAAGCGACCAGACAAACAATTCCAAGAATTATTATAACAATAATAATTATGTTTTATTAACAATTTGAGCTACAGACCTCGTAAATTGATTAGCTTCGCTCCGTATTTATACATAGATGAGTCGCTATTATAGGATGACGACGATTAATTGCGGATCGCATCAAAGTACGAGCACGAGTATGGGAAGAAGAACAAACATTTTAGCAAGAATGTCAAATGATTTAAGCTTGTCGAGTATGTTCTTCCCCGCCCTCGGGTAGCCACCTCCCTGGTCCGATTCCACTCCATTGGCAGTGGCATTTTTGGCGCAACTCCAGCGAGCTGTCAGAATTGCACAAATCCATGCCCCTTGCCGCGTTACCCCGGCGGCACGTCGCCGTCCATTCAACTGGCAGACATTCAACCGTTCTGGGATTCGGGCTCGTTTTTGGGACCCATGGCTTATACATCAATCCATCCAGCAACAGACATCCGCAGCCGTTGCTGTCAGCTATGGGCTGTGGCCCCGTTATATTTGCCAGATCTTTGCGCTTAACACTTGTAATCCGTTTCGCCTTTTGAGTGTGACGACGCCGGCAATGGCGATGGCGATGCCCCCAAATGGGTCGGCAACTGGTGGGGAATTGTATTTTGACTGGGGCGTAGGTGTCGTTGCATCTGATCTGCCCTCTCCCTACCTCCTTCGCTCCCTTGCTCCCCCCTCTCTCTCGCACTCGATTCACTCTCTATCCTCGTTCCACTCATTCAATACACGACGCGTCGGCGGTTTGAACAGTTTTCAGTAGACTAGCAACATTGGCAGCCATCAAGTCATCATCATCATGATCATGATCATCACGACCAATATCCACTGTACATCATGACCAGTGCTCAGTTGCGTCGTCTCCGCTCGATCGATCGCCGAATGACTCGCGGCACACAAGCCGAATTGCCGCACGAATTTTCGGGTTTTTGCGCGAAACATTTTCCGACTTTTCACATAAAAATCATGTAAGGCTGGAAAACGGCGACAGTTTGTGAACGGCAGCCGTGAAATACGCGCCAAGTGATCAAAAATCGAGAACAAAATCGAAAATTGAATTTTTTTTTATATCTAAAAAGCTTGCGAATTCGGACTGAGCAAAAAGTTGAAAACAAAGAATAAATAAATAACATTTTGTTGGATTCTTTTTTAATTTTTGTTTGGTGACGCTCTTGAGATCGTTTTGATTTATAGCTGGTTTTCAAGTGTTTACTATTGACTATGATTTGCCCGAAACGCACCTCGGAGCTGCTGGATCTGCATCTGGCGCCGTTCAAGGACAAGGATCCAGCCTGGGAGGTCGGCGTATCAAAAATAGCCGGCCGTGGCGTTATGGCCACGCGTCAACTGAAGCGCGGCGAAATTATCTTTCAGGACAGTCCACTGTTAATTGGCCTGGCCGCCCAGGAGGAGGACACGCTGAATGCGTGCAGCATCTGCCTGAAAATGCTGCCCGATACACGCTTCATGTGCCGCCAGGGCTGCGGCCTGCCCATCTGCAGTCTGTGCGCCAAAAAGAAACAGCATAAGAGCGACTGCGATATGTTCAAATCGTGGGGTCCCAACGAGCCGGATGTGGCCAATTCCGTGATAATACGTCTGCTGTGTGTGGCGCGTGCCATCAATTTGACCAAAGATCAGCGCGATTTGATTTATTGCCTGCAGGCGAATTTGGATAACAATCATCGCACCGAGGTGCGCAATGCCGCTAAATGTTTTAAGAACTTTCCCACCGACAAGAAGCTGGTGGAGATCATGAATCGCACCGTTGCCGTGCTCCGAACGAATGGCTTTGATAAGACAACAGATCGCACCACCGACAACCAGGAGTTCAGCTATCGCGCACTCTATCCCCTGTTTGCTGTCATGAATCACGATTGCATTCCCAACTCGTATTACACCTTCGAGGAGAAGACCAACAATATGATCGTGCGTGCCGCAGTCGACATTGCCGAGGGCGAGGAGATAACCACCACCTATACCAAACTCTTTACGGGCAACATAGCACGACATCTGTATCTCAAGATGAAGAAGGGCTTCACTTGCAAGTGTTCGCGTTGTTCGGACCCAACGGTAAGTTGACTAAACCCGGTTTCAAGATCAGTGTAGATCATAAATGTGGAAAAACTGACACGTAAACTTCAAGTACAAACAATATTAGATTTGAGCACCATCCAGAATAAAAAATCTAGAGTTTAACCAAGAATATTGGATCTGAAATTCAACTAGAATCTTAACCAATTCAGATAAGAACATTAGAGACAAAATGCAACTAGAATCTAACAAGAATCTTAAAGAATTCAGATAAGAATATAAGGTGTGTTATGTAACTGGAACTTAAAGAGCTCAGATAAGAATTTTAAATGGGTATTAAATCTAAAATCTTAAGGAATTCAGAATTTTAAAGAATCTCAGTTAAGAACATTGGATTTGAAATTCAACTAGAATCTTTAAGAATTTAGAGAATTAAAAAAACTCAGATAAACATTTAAGATTTGAAATGAATCTAGAATCATGAAGAATTCAGAAACTATTATTATATCTCAAATTCAACTAGAATCTTGAAGAATCCAAATAAGAATGTTAGAATCTCGAGGAATTCAGCCAAGAGTTTTAGATCTGAACATAAACTTAAATCTTAAAGAATTTAATTTTAATTATTAGATCTGAAATTCAGTTAAGAATTCAGAATCCAATATTCCGGATCTGAATCTTAAAGAGTTCATATTGGTATATTGGATTTGAAGTTCAACTAGAATCTTATAGAATTGAAATAAAATATTAGATCTTATAAATTTAACTAAATCCTAAAAGAGTTCTGCTAATAATATTAGATCTGAAATAATTTTAGAATCTTTAGGAATTCAGCAAAGAATATAAGCTCCAATATATTTGGCATATTAAAGAATTGAATAAATAATAATAGATTTAAAAAACTTAGCTCTCAAACGTGTTTAGAATCTTAAAGAATTCAGCTGCGAATATACGATCTGAAATGAATCTAGAATCTTAAAGAATTCATAAAAGAATATCAATATCAAGGATTCAAGATCAATGTAGATGGAAAATTTCAACTATGTATTCTTTCTACACATTGCAAATTTGCAGCTTTGTTTATTTGTTTTGCTACACAGCGAAAAGGAAACAAAAGAAACTTAACGACTTGAATAACTTAGAACAGTCAAGCTAATTGATTTTTATGCACAAGTGGCACAATAAACAAATAACTAGCTGTGAGCAAAATGCTATAGCTGACTTTTGATTTGGCTGCTTAAGGTTGTCTGCACAGTCAATGATTTATTTAGCACATTATTAACAAGATAGTTTGATAGTTGCATCAAAATGCAATTGCAATTGCAATTGTGATTGTCCGAAAATACGGAAAGTACGAGCGATTCTGACTTGATTGAGTGGCCAACGATTTGCAATTTCAACGCAAAACACAGCGCACACACATCGCGGTCCAAACGCGATTTACAGTCCAAAGTGGTGATTGATGGAGCAGCTGAATAAACTACTTTAGCCACTTGTTCATCCACAAACGAGTACACAAGAACCCGCACATACACATTGTGAGATGTGCGATGTGATTTAT